TAAAAGTACCGTTAAAGCCGTGCCTATGTTTTTGTTTTCACTGCTAGTTTATGCTTATGTTCAATTAGTGCATTAAAAAATCATTAAAATCATTAATGAAGTTTCAGCTCAGACCCCACGCTTAATAAGTCTCCCCCTGGCCCACCTACATTTCTCCAGGCCCACCCACACAATAATTCCTGGCTACGCCACTGGTACAAAGAATGCAGTCCGGGTGATGTTTTTTATGTGGGGTGCAGATGAGAGGGAGCTGTCCAGAATGACACCAAGATGTTGTGTTTGTGCTCTTGATAAGCCATTAAAACAGTAAAATAAGTGTCTCCTGTTCACCAAAACATAGCCATCTGTTATGGAAAAATAAAGTATTCCAAAAGTATTCTAAAAGTAATCTGAATACGTTACTTTTTTAAGACACGTAACTGTAACTGCACTGATAAAAGTAAAACATAGTGGTTGTTCGTTTGATGTGTTTATTCTCACTCAAATAATTTTAAATTATTAGTTTCATTATTTAAACTAATATTCCTGATTTATATTTATGGTTGAACCTATTGTTTTATATTGATAGAATATAAACTGACAGAAGGACATTGAAACTGAAACCATTCATTTGTTCAATGTAGTTTTATTAAATCAAGCTTAATTTGTGCATGCGCATTGCATTGATGACACCGCACACAGAATGTTCTGGCAGTACACGCGCTGTCTTTCGCAGTTCGGTGGAGCTAACCAGCAGACTTCATCCAGACACTTGGAAAACGAGCACATGTGATACTGGTAAGGATAAAATAATATTAATATATATATAATATAATTTCACATACCGAAACATTAACGTTTGTCTGAGTATATCTTCCGTTGACTCTGACCGGCTGTTGATAGCCCTTATAAGCTAACGCTAGCATGCTTTATTCAGACATTAGCTTTAGCCCGCTTGGAGTTATGGGTGGCTAACGTTACTACAGTCCGGTAGCTCAGTTAAGAAAAGGTAACGTTATTTATGGGAAACATTAGCCTACGTGTGTCTGGCCGTGACTCTGACTGAGTAGGCTGTAAAAGCTTGCGCTAATGTTTAGCATGCGCTAACGTTTAGCATGCTTTATTCAGACCACACATTATCCAGTGAAGAACACTCAGCAGAGCATATACTTCTCAACACAACATTAACTGTAACGTTAAATGTTCTTAACTGAGCTAGCGGACTGTAACCATGACTCCAATTCGACTAAAGGCTAAAGTCAATGTCTGAATAAAGCATGATAGCGTTAGCGTTAGCGTTAGCGTTAGCGTTAGCGTTAGCGTTAGCAGCGCTCGGCATGAGTCATGGCCAGATTCAAAGGCAGATATACTCACACAAACATTAAGTATCAACTTTAACTTTTCTTAACTGAGGCTTGGTGGCCTGTAAACAGTATGAACAGGTGGGCTGCATGTTTTCTATTGTAAATAAATAGATAAGACTATGAATTTGTATTTATTACCAGAGTAGAAATTCTGGTGTTAAACTTCAATTTAAGGACAGAGTAAGTGGGCTTCTTTCATATTGACGAGCGACTTATATTTGAATTTTCGAGTTCAATTGATAAAGATATTGTAAATGTAACGTTAGTTTACAACATTGTGTTATATATTTTTACATCACCAAAATGTTGACCACTGTCCTAAAATAAAGTATAGGCTTTGAGTAACGAATTTAAGTTTAATGTTTGATATATTTTTAATATGTCAATGATCTTCTTGTAGCTTAGACACTTTGATGGCTAATTAAAGACTAATGAAAGGTTTTCTCACTTCAGGGAAGCAGCCATCTATTCCTACTGTTCTACCCATGTGGATGTTCCTGTGAATGGTCATTGCTTGTGGTAAGTTTAAAAAAAAAAAAAAAAAAAATGTCATGAGAGTATTCGCTATAATCAGGCCACCCTTCAAATTGGGCTCTGGCAAACATGTAGTATTCAATCGATTTTGACACATCAAGCAGAGCAATTTTCTACCAAATCACTTACAAAAAGTTACAGCGTTGTCTACTCGGTACACTAAAGGTATCTCTTGTATCTCCTGTTTCCTCAGTTATCCATGCATGTGGAAATGTAAAGACTGTGACAATTCATTTTCAAGAAGATCGGAACTTTTAAAACACTACAAGCTTGATCATCAGCATTATGGGCGGGGTCGTGCCTACCCCTGTATTCATGAGAATTGCCCATGCACATGCAAGACATGGAAAGCTCTACTCACTCATCTAAGCAAATTCCATTCTGCTCAACAATCTTCACAGAACAATAGATTTTCAACACTCAAGTGCCATGTTTGCGACAACAATCTGCATTCTACTGAGCCAGACTATTTTCAACATATCAGGCAGCATTTGAAAAATCATGAATTTGTAAATTGTATGTTTTCTGGTTGCTCATACAAAACAAATCATTACGGAGCTTTCAATACTCACAAATGGAGGAAGCATACCCCACATACACTTAATGATTTCAAGCCTGGAATTGTTGATGGGTATGATGTTGTAGAATCATTTGAAACGGGTACTACTGATCAGTTGAATGATGATTTGCCATCTGAAGAACTTCCTGATGAAGAATCAACAGTTTCGACAGATATTGAATTAAAACTTGCCTCAGTCCTACTTAAATTAGAAAATTATTTTCTTGTATCAAGTGCAGCTGTGAATGAGCTTCTAGAAGAGCTGCAATATTTAATTGGTACTGCCTCTCTGCCAGTTACCCAAAAGACTATAATCCACTTCTTACAAGATCGCAATTGCCAAGTTGATGAATCAGTTGTGAAAGAGTTGGCCACTGAACTTTGCTCTTTGAATCCCATTCAAGCTGCAATAGGAAACCGTGGTCCACTGTCAACCACTTGGAAACGGAAGAAATATTATAGAAAACACTTTAATGTTGTTGAACCAGTGGAGTATGTGTTAGACCGAAAGAATAGAAGTTTTTTTCAGTATGTGCCTATACTAAAATCTTTGCAGCAACTTTTAAACTGTGAAACTATACTTAATAAGGCTGTACATTTGAAGGAAAAATATCAGCAAAGGGAGAGTGATAAGCAGGTATACAGATCTTTTTGGGATGGTCTTCTCTTTAAAAGACATTCTATTCTCTCAAAAGAGTGTTCGATTTCTTTGATTTTGTATGTTGACGATTTTGAAATATGCAATCCACTTGGAACATCCCGTAGAAGACACAAAATCTGTGCCTTATATTGGATTTTAGGCAATCTTCCACCTGGTTGTCATTCTTCCTTGTCCTCTATTCATTTGGCTGCATTGATTAATACCAATGATGTGAAAGTCTATGGTTATGAAAAAGTGTTAGAACCTTTGTTAAGGGATCTCATAACATTAGAACAACAGGGTGTTTTTGTGGAAAAGTTGGGCAAACATTTAAAGGGCACAGTGCAGTGTGTTGTTGCCAGGGATGCAAACTTGTCACCTTTCGGCGAAATTCGCCGTTTTGATTCCAAAATAGGTCGTTTGTGTGATTCATGTAGATCTGCAATAAACATATTTTTGGGGTATGGGGGGGGTCTGGGACCCGGAGTAATCTGCGGCCGCGAGCTGTTATGTGCCATCATGACACGCATGGTGTTCTTTTTTTATATATTATAATGAAGCGCGAGCACAAGTCTTCCTGCCTGTCAGCTCTGCTCATGGATGTATAATAAGGCTCTGCTGCTCCGGGATGAGGGTCTAGCTTCAGCAGCTACATTACCTACGGTGCGTTCGTTAATATTAACTGTGCGGTCCAAAGTCACTGTGGCACAGACTGGACCGCTGGTTAGAACGGGGTGTTCAGAGCAGAGCTCCCTGACCTGAGCGGCAGAGCGTGATGTGCACTGAAAAGTGTTTCTGTCGCAATATTATTTAATGAATCGTTGAGCTAGCTAACTAGCATACATTGTCACTATCTGCTAACGTTAGCTTTAGCCTTCGTTTTCAAATAGTTTCTTTCATAGCCTATAAACGGAGGTGGTATAAGTATAGATCTTGTACTTGAGTAAAAGTAGAAGCACTCAGATCTTGTACTTGAGTAAAAGTTGAAGTACTCAGGTCTTGTACTTGAGTACAAGTAGAAGCACTCAGATCTTGTTCTTGAGTAAAAGTTGAAGTACTCAGATATTGTACTTGAGTAAAGTAGAAGTACTCAGATCTTGTACTTGAGTAAAAGTATAAGTACTCAGATATTGTACTTGAGTAAAAGTAGAAGTACCAGAGTGTAGGAATACTCTGTTACAGTAAAAGTCCTGCATTCAAAATGTTCCTCAAGTAAAAGTAGAAAAGTATTATCAAAATATAGTTAAAGTAGCGACAGTAAAAGTAGTCATTGTGCAGATTGGTCCATTTCAGAATAATATATATGATATGTTTTATAATGATTGATCATTAAAGTGTTCTCAAAGCTGGTAAAGGTGCAGCTAGTTTGAATGACTTTGTATACTGCAGGGTAGCTTGTGAATTTACTCCAGGTGGAACTACAGTCTGATTTAACACTTGATTATATTTCACATCATTCATCCACATCTGTAAAGTAACTAAAGGTATTAAATACATGTAGTGGAGGAAAAGTACACCATTTACCTCTGAACTGTAGAGGAGAAGAAGAACAAAGTAGCAAAACATTGAAATACTTAAATAAAGTACAAGTATCTCAAAATTGTACCTAAGTATAGTACTTGTTGAGTTTATGAACTTAGTTACTTTACACCACTGGCTATAAAGATAGAAAGACAGCCTTGCACAGAGTCATGAAAATACATTTTCAAAATGCTCAACAGTCCTGCCAAAATTATAAACTGACTGCTACACAATTAAAATAAATGCTTAAATATATTTCTATTAGATGTGACTCTTTGGCGTTTCTGTTATTATTAACTGCTGCTTTAGTTGTTCTGACTGCTAAAATCCTCTGTTATTCCTCATTTTAAAGCCGATATTCCGTGGGGTCGGGGGGCTCGGATCCTTGTCACCTTTTTCATACCTGATGAGTTTGCATCCCTGTGTTGCTGACAACCTTGGAGCACACGGTATTGCTGGTTTTGTTGAGAGTTTTTCCAGCAGATTTAGTTGCAGGTTTTGTACAGCAGATAAATTAGATTTCCAGGCCAGGGAAGCTGGATGCTTTTCTCGGAGAACTGAGGAGAATCACAAAAATCATCTGCAAACCATTGAGGAAAATTCTTTGGCCAATTGTTATGGTGTTAAGAGAAGCTGTGTTCTTTCAGAAAAACTTTCCCATTTCAATGTTACCACTGGTTTTCCTCCAGACATTGTCCATGATTTATTCGAGGGAATAATCCCTGTTGAAATAGCTCTCTGTCTGACTGTATTCATTTCCAAGAAATATTTTACTTTGGCCACTTTGAACAAGGCGATAGAAGATTTTCCCTATAAATGGACTGATCGAACCAATCGCCCCCACCCTGTTCCACTAGCCTATGCATCCAATAAAACAATTGGTGGAAATGCACACGAAAACTGGAGTTTACTACGATTTTTTACACTTTTGCTTGGACAGAAAGTGCCCATCAATGAACCAGCCTGGCAACTTCTTGGTGATTTAAAAGACATTGTGGACCTGGTTGTCTCTCCAGTTCATACTCCTGAGTCAATTGGATATTTGAGCTTCAAGATCTCTGAGCACAGAGTGAGATTTAACCTGTTCCACTCTGAGCCTGTTTTTCAGGTCTCAGGCTCGAAAATGACATTCCCAGAACAAATGACCATATCTTCCCTTCTAAAAGGGTTAAATTAATAATCTTTTCTCAAAGTAATGATAAACCTGTGAGTTGGATGTAGAAGTGTCAGAATCAATATAAATGTTTTTTATTTTAAAGAAAATTCAGATTTTACATAGTAAAAAACTGTAAATTATAGTGTCCGTCCAAAAATTATTTTTTACAGATAGTGAAAACTACCCTTGGATGATGGGTTAGTAGACTAAAAGCTTTAGGAATCCAAAGTACAACATATAATAAGTACCCTGTATCAAGATTGATGCAAAACAAGTGAAATTTGACCTTTTTAGAGAGATTTAGCCAAAAACTGGGCCATCTGGGGTCATTTGGGTGGATTTGACCTATCTCTGGCCCCCCTTGCTTGATCTGGTTGGTTGACATACCCTTGTGACCGTTAGAGCCAATAGAATCGAAGGAGGAGACTCACATAGACACACATTATAAAGAAAAAATGTTGCCGCTTCGCGTGTGGAAAGCGAAACTAAACTGGAGGAATGTCTCCTTCTGGAGTTTGGAAACTAAAACGCAGTTGTATTGCTTATGGATTATCAGAAATAATTTCAAAGAAGGCACAGACACATAGGATGAACCTATGGATTAACTGCAGCATCGTTTTTTTATCGTTTTAATGCCATTGAAGACCACTTTTGACCAAGGTGAGCCATATTTACATGTTTAGCTTCTTGGCTCCACATGTGATGATGTACGCTTTCGTTGATAGCGTCGCGAATGTTTATCACTGAGTGTTGAGGTGGGCACCGTTAGATTCAGTGTCTCCAGGACACCAAAAGATAGTGTTTGGTTGTGCATCTAGGATAAGTAATAAGGGAGTTCTGAGTGAGTTTATGTGCCTTTGTCGGTCCCGTTTTTTCGATCGAGGCTAATTCAGAGGCTGAGTGCTAGCATTGTGGGTTTTTTTGAAAAAAAAAATTAAAAAGATCAGTTAGCTGAGTTTCTTCCCGTTACATGGATATAACACATTCATAGTTTTATTCAATATTAAGATTCCTTAGACGTTGTTTCCTGCAAATGACGCGTTTATCCGCCCGGTACCGGGGGGAAGGCGTGAAACAGGTTAAGGAGGTTTTCCCAGACTCAAACTTTCGACCTAAACACCATTTCTTGGAGCATTATCCGCAGTTAATCTGTGAGTTCGGGCCATTGGTTGCGCTATGGACCATGCGTTTTGAAGCAAAGCACAGCTATTTCAAAAGAGTTGTGCGGCATTCCACCTGCTTCAGAAATGTGCTACTGTCATTAGCTGAACGACATCAGTTTCTCATGGCACATCACCTTTACCTGTCCAGCTTGCCTGAATCCCCCCTGGAGGTAGCAAGTGTTTCAACTCTTCCCATTGACCTTTTGAAAGAGGACATTGCATTTGATATTAAGCAGAGGCACCCAGACTTAGATGCTGTGTGCTTGGTCAAAAATGCATCTTACAGTCGCATAAATTACAGGATTGGGATGATCCTGGCACATGGCTCTTTGGCAGGGCTGCCGGAATTCACGGAAACAATCCAGATGATTGTTATCAAGAATAAGCTGCTTTTCATCGTCAGAAAGCTGAGTGCATGGTATAGGGAACATTACAGAGCCTATGAACTGAAACCGTGTCCTACAAAGAAGGTGGAACTTCTTGACTCAAATGAACTGACTGATCCATACCCATTGGCTGACTATACAGTTGGGGGAATGCGGCTGATAACTCTTAAAAGATACATTCATGTATAAGGTCAGAATGAGTATATATATATGAACTTTGTATGTAATACTTTGTAAAGTATAACACAATGCAATTTGAAAAGAAAAAATTCATTGAGTGTACACCTGCATTTCATTAATTCCCTCTATTTCTCTCTTTCTCTTAGAGCGCCATGGCTGATATTGAACCACCTGTTCGATTGCTGATCATCTTAAACGACGACAACAGCGTAAGACTGGAGCTTCGAAATGGGATTCCCAACTCAATAGAAGAGCTCATTGAGGAGGTCAAGAATTCATGTGGATTAGAAGGTTACATAAGGCTACAGTACAAAGACACTGATTTTGGGAACACATTTGTTAATCTTACATCGACACATGCGATAAAAGATTTAACAGTGATCAAAGTTGTCGAATTAGACCCCGATTCTACAACTGTGGTCTTGTACCCAGTTGAGATACCATTAAATAGTACCCCTACAAGTGGACTGTACAGTGAAGACTCCTCCTCTGGATCTGTGAATACAGATGACACAGTACTACTTAGCAGCTCTTCCTCGGAATCATTAAGAACACAGCAGTGGCCTAAAGTGTTTCCAATCCCGGTCTTCTCCTATGACACAGAATGTCAATTACAGAGAGGAAATGCAGAGTACACAAAGAACCAATCTAGACTGACACTAAGCTCAAAAATGCTTTCAGACATACTCGAGAAACTGGCTGATAAAGTCTACACATACAAAGCATACCCTACAGATGCTGACTTTAGCGATGTTGCTGAGGCATTGACAAGCAAGCATACCTGCCTAAAGGAACCAGGGTCTTTCAATGAGAGCTATGGATGGAAACAAAGGATGAAGGTAAAAATGGCCAACTACCGGACTCTACTCAGAGCACATGGAACATCTGCAGAGCTCGCTGTGAACTCGTTGAAGACCAAGTCTCAAGAAGAGTCCTACCCTGCGAAGAATTGAAAGAGAGCCAGGCGAGCTGAGGCCAACCATTTTCCATCCTTGCCGATTGGTGAGACTCCAGAAAGCATGGAGCAAGAGAGAATTTCCCTTTTGGCAGAACAACAGAAAAGAAACAACCGGCAATCAATAAAAGAAAAGATGGCGAAGACGTTTGGATACCGAAGACAAGAAATAGTGCATCAGAGGCCAAGCATTGAAGGCCTCTTGGAGCGGTGGCCTGCACTTTTTCACATGGAAGAGGTAATTATTTTTGATGAAACCCTTGATTGTAAGCCTGTAGTGGAGAAGAAATGAGGGCCCAACTAACTAACAACTATAGACAGCCTAGGCAAATATGTTGACGTTTTTATTTTTAATATATATCACAATATAAGCTTTACATCTATGACTCTTTGTGTCTTTATTTGGTGGTGGTTTTCAATAAATATGTGGATTAATTAATTTAAATGTTACCTTCATACAAGCTGACTTGGAGTACTTTTAATCAAAACGTTGGCTCTTTATAAAAAATATGTGTATTATAAATTCTCAGTGTTTTTTGTTTTCTATGCTGCTTATATTTTCTAGGTAAATGCTGAGTTCATGCGCATAACAACATTTCCGTTGGAGACAAAGTTCTTGGCGCAGTTGGACAAACACTCCACCAAACTGCTGCAGGTCATCAGGAGCAGGGGAGGAGTTGTGAAACAGAAGACCACCGGGATCTTGCAGGTTTTAGATGAGGTATCTATGAATGAGTTTTTTCTCTGTGGGATCAGTGGCTGAATAGTCCTTTTTATTTGATTTAAAATATATATATATAACTGTTCTTACTCAGACTGTGGACATCACCATCAGAAGAGAATGCATCCTCAAATCTCTAATGATCTACCTGGGTGAACCTGTTGACCATCTCATCAAAGAATTCCACTCACTCACAAGATGTTTGTTCATTAAAGAAAAATAACATATTTGTACTGCATGCAAATAACTGCTTGGTTAGAAAGCTAGTAATTTTTGATGACCTCCTGAGCTTTCCTCTTGGGCAACCATCCGACTAAACTGAGAACTTTCCTTTTTTCATCTATCCAGTATAATCTTGTTTTTTTAAAAAGGTAGCTGCAAATTTGGAGAAACTTTTGCGCTTCAGGCCTGTTGAACTACACTCTGTGGTCCTCATCCATTTCCCTTTTTTTTTGCATGATATGCAGGAAGCTGAGGCTGGAGAACTGGAGCAGGCAACAATGGCAATCTTTGTCATTGGGAAAGAGGATCAGTTTCATCGACCCAAAGACGTCAAGGTTCTCATCAAAGGAACAGAGGTCCTCAGCGGCTTGCCCTCGGTTGCGACAGCTTTTGCCATGCTCTTCGGGCTCATATACGCACTGAACTTAAGATATCCTAAAGAACTGCAATCCACTTTGAAGTTGTGCAAAAAGTCCTGATGGAGCTTGAGGGAAAAAAGATGAGCCCAAAAGTGAATAGACTGAGAACCCAGCTGTTCATCCCAGAGTAGACACTTTTTTGCACTCACTCACTTGCAGTTACCATTGTTCTTGTATGGTAAGGTTTGTAAAACCAAGGTTTTATAATAATTATGCATTGTAAATAATGTGCAAAAAAGTTTTGTATTCAGAAGTTGCACTTACAGTATGACCGATTTTCACTGTAGAAGTTATGCATGTCTGCTCATTTTCAGAGGTTACATGTCTCACAGGCGCAAGTTGTCAGTGTTGCTTTAAAAAAGTGTGCAGTTGATTATCAGGACAAGTCCTTTTTCTAAGAGTTTGATGTTTGGAAGCGGCGCATATTACTGCATTTTAACTGTGGTACTTATTAACATGTCTGCTTAAGATCAGGTAATGGCTGCCTCAGAGGCCAAAGCTGGTTGTGTGTGTCACTACCTGATCTGCATCCCTGCCCGATCTGCATTGCGCATGTGCGAGATGGTCCGCCATATTGGACAACTCCGTACGGCAACCCAACTAGGACACTTGACACAGTGGCTTTTGGCAAAGCAGAAAAAGAAAACTCAAAGAACCGAGAGAGATGAGTTATTGTTATTACAACGTGACTTCACTATTATTTAACAACTCTTTTTATTGGGTTCTTTTATTTGGGGTTAAGTACATTGTCTAACAGAAGTTAAATTCATTTTTCACTTATTCTGACAATGTACTTAACCCCAAATAAAAGAACCCAGTGAAGTCACGTTGTAATAACAATAACTCATCTCTCTCGGTTTTTTGAGTTTTCTTTTTGTGCTTTGCCAAACGCCACTGTGTCAAGTGTCCTATTTGGGTTGCCGTACGGAGTTGTCCAATATGGCGGACCATCTCGCACATGCGCAATGCAGATCGGGCAGGGATACAGATCGGGTAGTGACAGTGTGAACAACTTGTTTTACATTCAAATAAATGTGCTCTAAAATAATTTGTTATTTGTCATTAAATGCAATATAATCATAACATTTTTAAATTATAATTGCTATACATTTCAGATACTGACAACTTACATTTTATATTTGAGACGATGTAAAATAATTGGTTTGATTTAGTTAAGAAATGGTTTTGAATTTAGTTTAATTATTTCAGGTTCAACTGGATGTTTTTTTTACATTCAGTCCGTAACAACACACTTTTTTCATTTAGGACAACGTAAAATAATTGGTTTACTTCACTATCAGATAATAGTTTGCCTGGAGTTAAAATATACAGATTGATCTGATGAAATGGACTTTCATTGAGTCAATGTAAAATATTTCGTGTGATCGATTACTCTAATTTTTTTTAGTTGATCCAACGTTTTACTTTTATCAGTGTGTATTCTGATTACTTTCAGAGCATGTATTCAGTATTCAGTAACTGATTACATTTACAAAGTAACCCTCCCAACCCTGCCTAGAAGTGATCCTTCGTTAGCGTGAAGAGTCTGCTAAGCTTTATGCGGTCCGCAGTACCGCGTGCTCCAATAGCACCCTGCACCCCCTCGCCCCCGGTCAACAACTTCAAAATTCTGGGCTATATAAAAATCGCTGGCCCGCGATAGTGTCTATTGGATACATTTTGGCCCTTGGACAAATGTCGTTGGTGATCCCTGATGTAGACAGACAGTCACCCTGGCAAACCCACATTTGCGCAGCAGGGACGGACTGGGACAATAAGTCAGGCCAGGAATTATACACCCAGCCAGGCCACTACCAGTTTTTTTTTTGTGCCATTTTGCTGGATTTATTTGTGAATATTTACAGCGTTGCTGATTTTTTTTGGAGTTAAATGCATCAATCTGGTGCACTTTGAGGGGAAAATAAAGAGAGATCTATGGAAACACCTATATGAAACAGAACTGTATACATTTAAATAATCATAAAATCCTAAGAACATGGCCATAACTAATAACATACCATATCCAATATTAAAAAAAAATTGAAAGTTGTTTATTTATTTATTTTTGGTTCATTTATAGTTGTGAGTGTGTCTGGGCTCCTGAACCATGCCTCTCCTGTCTCCCCGCTCTCCCTCCTCTCCCCCCTGCTCCTATTGGCAGCAGCAAAGACTAGTTTTAGCCATAGACTGTAGGTTTTAGCTCTCAACAAGTTTTTAAAGTTTATCTTACCTTTTTTCACCTATTTAAATTTGTTTTCTTTTTATCCATGCGTATTTTACTAATCACTCCCCTCTCAAATGGAAATATGTGTTTACTCGCCACACATACACACACCCTCCCGAGCTTTAATGACACACAGAGACCAATCGAGGGCTTTGATGTATGATCGGTATGGAAGTGACCATGTCGGCAGGCAAACTCACATTTGCTCAGCGTTGCGTTCACCATACATTAACAAAACAAAAAAAACACTTAACAGGCCAGGCCATCGGGAAACCTCCCGGTCCTCCCGATGGCCTGGCCTGTTAAGTGGCCTGCTGGCCTGGCGATTTTGTGTTGTTGTTCTGGCTTAGTTCAGTAAAGTTTGAACGATATTGGGAGATTCGGATTTCACGGATCAATAACTCATGAACAAAACGTTATTCAGACACAAATGACGTCTCCTAAGTACCGTGGTAAGGTTGACAACGAACTACAATCACATTTTGATCAAAAAAGCCAATACGCACCGTCCTCCGAGCTGGACACATTGGTCTCTATCCGCAGCCGGGGAAGAAACCAGTGCTCAGGGACCGTCTGCAAAGTGCAACTCCGAAAAAAGAATACAATAATATTCAATCATGGGCGTCGCAGCCATTATATGAGGGTGGGACAAGTCCCCCCCCCCCCTCCCCCCACACTTTAAAATGATTAGTTTAGACCCCCCCCACTTTTACTTTGCGGAAAGTCCGTGAATCGGTCTATCCACTCTCAACTCGTTGTAGAGCGCTGTGTCAGTGCTTCATTATCAAATCCATTCCACTTGCTTATTGTGAGAATGCCCAAATCAATGAAATTCCATACCATGTTTTCACTGCTACTTTGTACCAAGGCAGATTCTCAGAGCCGTACACATGAGCCGTACACATGCTGCGTTTTTTGTGTAGCTGTGTCTTTAGTTGTAAAATTATGCGCGCCACAGTTTCCCCGCTGCGAGGCTCCGGCGCAGTTCACGAGCGTGCTCCACTAGCACCCAGATATAAGGCGCTGTTATTAAAGAGTTGGAGGGAGAGTCCTCTCCTGTCAGACTGAGAGGCTGATAACTACAGCTCAGTGAGGTAAAGGACTCTCTGAGGGTTTAGATAGTTCACTTTAGTCTAAGTAGTGGGTCTCAAACGGTTTGGTAATCATTTATGTAAACAAGTATTTCCAAGGCACACTTTTATATGATCATTATAGTTATAAAAAACAAGAGAATAACAGGTAGGAAATAATTCCAACTCATACTATAGGAGAGTAACACAAAAATATAGTATACATTGAAATGATTTCAAACCTGTTTATCCCAATAATTATAAAAGAGTGCCTTGGAAATATTTGTTTACATAAATTGCATTTCTCTCGCTCGCTCCCACGCGCACTTTGGCTGTGAGCTGCGGACGCCTGATAAGCCAACACCCCCCATTTTCATCACTTACAGCGCCCATCGTACAGGGCAAATTAAAAGTGTAACCGGGGTGAAAAGGGTGTTACATTTACATAATTATGAATGTTGTTACATCAAGGCCGAAAATTAGGATGAGCGCAAACAGTCAAAAAAATGTTTTTCCCTCCCAGAGCTGCCAGCGCAGCGCCTCCCCAGATCTGGCGCCCTAGGCGACCACCTACAGCAGGGGTCGGCAACCTTTTTGATATGAAGTGCCATTAAAAAAATTAATTGTTATCAGCGTGCCAACGATAGAGAATTATCAAGGGGGGGAGGGGGGTTGAGGGGCTTGACCCTCGTGAACTATCAACAGGAGGGCGGGGGGAGCAGTGTGTGGAGTGGACCTGTCAGCACAATTTACATGATGCCGAATTTAACAAACACATTTAAATAATTGGTTTAAACGGCATAATAATAAGGACGATCGTCCGTTCTGTGATTCTCCAGAACACACATGTTATGATATTAGCAGTGGCGGCGCCAGGGTATTTTTGTTGGGTAATCTATGGTAGGGCTAACCCATACAGTGGTGGTGCTCAAGTCAGTATTTGCAATTGAATTACATACACGCTATATCGCCCCCCGTGAAACAGTGAAATGCCACACGTGAGGTTTAGATTATTTCCCTTTCTCAATCAAAATGGAACTGTATGAAATAAAACGGCACATCTGTAAATAAAAAGGGATCACTGTGAACGTGACGTATGATAGTACACGTTGAAGATCCAATGGGGATACTGAATTGCGGTTTTGATTGATCTCAATCAGTAAGGCATGACGCAGACAACGTTGAATTGCTCTGATTGGCTGTAGGTCTATTCAAATTGCATTCGGAGGCATTTTGATCTGACCGCGGCCGCACTTAACGCCAGAGAATTTCCACACCTTTAGTGTTTAAAACTCCCCCACTACTTAGACTATTCCTTGCACCCCTCTTCTATAAGCCCGAATGGTCTCAACCATATTGCATCAGTAACGTGCACTTGTTACAGCAGGATCAGTTTGTGTGTTGTGGACACGACCCGTATATTTTCGCAATCCGTGTTCTCAACATTTTGCATTTTGCTTATTATTTAATTGAATTTGCTTACTTTAACATCACTTTTCATGGTGGGGCTAAGGTGGGGCTAAGCCATTTCTTGGTATGGCTGTAGCCTACCCCTGGCGCCGCCAGTGGATGTCATGCAGAGTGAGATGAGATCGCTGTCCCTTTAAGAGAGAGAGAGAGGGGTGTGGCGGGTGCATGTGTGTGTGGATGGTAGAGCGACAGTGAGGGAGCGTGTGTATGTTTCTGGAAGTGAAACGAGGCAGCAGAAAAACAGAGGTCTGTGATGTATTTTGTGAAACAGAAGAACAGCTAAATAAATGCAACGGCCTACCAAGAAGAGCTCGCCTCTCTCCAGTCATTTAAGCTAAAGTGGGTTATTGAACCTGAAGCTTGTTGCTTCTGCCCTCCTCGACTACGGTCTGGGAGCCGACAGGAAAGTTCAACACACAGATGGCCAGTCCGCCCCTTTGTAGCATATTATTTCGATGAGAGATGAGCAGATCGCCACTGGGCTTTCAACTAAAGACACAGCCACGCAAAAACTGCTGCATTTGTACAGCTCCTTATGGGTACTGCAATTTGGGCTTTCCTCCGTGGTGAAACGATCAGCCCTGCACCACGGAGGAAAGCGGCAGAAAGTCACCTGGAGTTAAAGAGAGCGGGGCTGCGCTGCGTGCATGGCTTCCTTCTGCAGGTAACGGAGACGCGCTCTGGCGGCGGTCTCGTTCAGGATCCGAAAATACAATTTAAATATTTTGCACACTTATTCCACTTATTCCTAGTGTGCCACTGGTTACGGTGCCCGACCCCTGACCTACAGTATGTCGCCTATGCCAAAAACCGGCCCTGTAGACCATGCTAAATGTATGTCTGCATAAAGCTGAGTTATGATCGGTCATAATAACACAGAATTTGGTGATGATTAAATAGTTTACAGTGAGATTTACTCCCATACTTTTGGCCATACTCACGCAGCCCTATAAATGAATTGAGATTTCCACACAAATGTTCTTTAGCAAGTGTGCAGAGCAGTGTTGATTTAAAAAAGCAATTTGAAGGTTGGATATTTGTAAACCTTTTTTTGTGTATATATATTAATAATTTAAGATGTAAATGAATTCCAGTTTATTTGTAGTACTTTCTATTTTTATTGTGACATTTGGTGGCATCAATGTGTGCATTTGATACAGATAATGGAGCAGTTGCTTTAGGGCCACAGTGTATATCCCTTACGGGCCGTCTCCACGGCAGCGTTAAAAAAATCTTGGAGGTGGGCGTATCTGAGGCTTGGGGATTTTTTTGCGATCAACCAATCACATGAATCTCCCGCCCGCGACATATGAAGCCAAAAAGCCCGAAGTAAACTGGATATAAACTCCCCAAAACAGGCGAAAACATACCACTGTCTCTGCCACCTCCCTCCATGCCTGGCTCCTCCGGTTTATATCCCGGTAGGTCTGGTCATAAAGCACCGGGTGATTGATTCGCTACCGCTAATTTCTCCTCCATGTTTTGGAATATGAGGAAATGACCTGCGGTCTGTCTCTCCCAGCATACACGCCGTTTGATTGGCTAGAGCTTGAACTGTCAGATTTGCGTACACGGGATTTGATTGGCTGACGCTTCCTCCTCAGCTTCAAAAGTTGAACATTGTTCAACTTTGGATCTTGAAAATCCTGAGAATCTCCGCTCGCCTGCCCACAATGCATTTCGGCGAAAGCGAAAAAAAGTGACGTCACCCCATTCAAAGTGAATGGGCAGAAGCGTTTCAAGATTTTTTAACGCTGCCGTGGAGATGGCCCGTAAGGTCAAATAATGAGATCCTCGACATCCGCCCCCCTCTCGTACCTCCACACAGAGCCCCCCCACATATCAAATCCCAACTTAACCCCTGGTCATACTACAGCAGAGTTTTGAAGAATATGCTATTGAATACTTTTGGGGAATATTTATGATGTAAAATCTTCAATAAATATGGCATCATCTTCAATAACTTACAGTATATTTCTACCAAACTCACTATTTGCATTGTTGTTGTTAGCATCTGGTTAGCTAGCTGCGCTAACGGATATTAGAAGCTGTTTCTAAAACAAGGAGAGGGAGAGCTCTGTCCTGTCAGACTGAGAGAGATAACTGCAGCTCAGTGAGGTAAGGGACTCTCTGGATGAACACACTGTCAGAGTTACTGTAGGGTTTCCTGTTGTTGCCCGTTTGTCATAACTATAGTTTGTTAACGTAAGGTGTCCCACTTTATGACTGGATAAGACTGGACAGCATATTTATCTCCTGTCCCGCCTCCCACACGTTTGGAAAATGTCCCCTAGATTGTATTGGATCTCAATACAGTGAACTCCACTTTTGGATAATTAATTTTTTAGCAAACTGCTCCCTCTGCTGTTCAGAGCCCTACACTACATCCTTGAATCTTCAATTCACAGTATTTGGCCCATTTTTGACACAGAATAAGTGTATAAAAATGGTTGTACCCAACAAATGAACAGTACCTACCTTCAGAACACTACTTCTGTTATTTAATGTCAGTCTTTCTGCGTTTTTTTCCAATTTTAAGAAAGTTGTTGGTTATTTTTTGATAAATTAGATCTGATATAGCAGCACAGCAATAAGATTATTTTACCAATTAAAAGTAATGTATGTATAATTAATGTAGTGTATAAATAAGTCCCTTTTAAAGTTAACGACACAGGACACCAGAATTGAATTCATCACTTCCATATTCAACAGATTTTATTGTGTTACACAATATGTGAACAGCATATCTACAAAATAATGAGTTAAAAAACGTATAAATTCCTCGTTAAGAGTTCACCGTCTATTTCATTTTGTTGTCTTTTCTTCCTAAGACAACACTGTGGTCCAAAATCTCTTTGTGGCTGAGATCTGTGGAGACATCATCTGGAGGACTTTCCGTTTTCGTGAACATCCATCCTGTCACAAAGGAACGAGTTTGATTAAGACATGGGAATCCTGCGTGAGGAATATTGAGTTACAGATGCTTAATGTTTCCTACACACCCATTCTCCTCTTTGAGCTGCTGGTACAGCTCGAACTTGTTGTTGACGGAGCTCACTCTTCCCATGAACTCTTGGTGCTTCCTGGAGTTCGCTGCTGTGATGCGGTTGCTCCACATCGTGAGCAGCGAGACAGGACCTGTGGCAATAAGGAGACAGAGCCACAGATTAAAACACACATATCCAGTGAGGTGTGTATTTCGCACATTTGTACACAAGCTACTTCTCCTATTATCTGCACAGCTTTCCACTTCTCATACTGTAACAATACTACACATTTGTTTGAATATATTGTCATAGTACACAGTTCTTTGGTATATCCATATTTCATAAAATAATTTTCTATGTATTTTTGTTATCGTTTTTTATAATAGTTTGTGATTTTTTGGTTGATTTTCTTACAATGTATCTTCTTTAACTGTGTTTATGTAGGCACCATATAAACCAAATTCCTCGTATGTGAAAATCCACTTCGCATTAAACCTGTTCCTGATTTACTGCAATAAGCTCTTATCGGCACAGGCTCATCTACGGGGAACTATCGGCAATTTCTTCCACTTTTCTGGTCAGTTTGTCAAAGATTTCTAATGGTTTTGTTTACATTTTAAGCAGAAGTGTGTGATGAGTGTACCTTTGGCTCTCTCTGGAGGCGGGGACCTCCTCAATGGAGAGGCGAGGCTTCTTATTGGGCGGTTCTGGAGAATCTGGGGAGTCTTTGATCACCTCAGACTCCGGCTCTTCCTTATCCAGCAAACCCTTTAGTCTGAAAACACAAAGAAAGACACCTCAAAGCCACAGTAAAGAGGATATCTATCCCAAAGTGCTTTACAGAACAAGAAGGAAACATAACAACAATATTAAAATAAATACAGAACAAGATAAAACATCAACAGTGATAATAATGAAATTCCCTTAAAAGGTCACCTATTATGCAAAATACACTTCTTCATGTCTCTTCTACATCAACATGTGTCCCCTCTTCTTCATGTCTCTTCTACATCAACATGTGTCCCCTCTTCTTCATGTCTCTTCTACATCAACATGTGTCCCCTCTTCTTCATGTCTCTTCTACATCAACATGTGTCCCCTCTTCTTCATGTCTCTTCTTCATCAACATGTGTCCCCTCTTCTTCATGTCTCTTCTACATCAACATGTGTCCCCTCTTCTTCATGTCTCTTCTACATCAACATGTGTCCCTTCTTCTTCATGTCTCTTCTACATCAACATGTGTCCCCTCTTCTTCATGTCTCTTCTACATCAACATGTGTCCCCTCTTCTTCATGTCTCTTCTACATCAACATGTGTCCCCTCTTCTTCATGTCTCTTCTACATCAACATGTGTCCCCTCTTCTTCATGTCTCTTCTACATCAACATGTGTCCCCTCTTCCTCATGTCTCTTCTATATCAACATGTGTCCTTCAGAGAAAGAGATTCTGAAAGTTTCAGGAAAAAAGATTCTCTCTCTTTTTGTCCTGATCCATTTATATAAAAACCTGTCTGAAAATGAGCTGATCAGATTTTGGCCACTTTATGATGTCATAACGATTTGTTGGCTTGTGTAACCATTAGCCAATCAGCAACCAAGGTAACCCCCCCCCCCACCAATCAGAGACAGGTTCTGTATATATCTGAGACCTATAATAAAAAAATGAAAAACAGTATAATAGGGGACCTTTAAAGTAAAGCTGACAAGAAATAAAAATAGGTTCAAATAAAACAATAAAATGTAAAATAAAAGCAAAACAGAAAAAATACAGAAAAACATGGGAAATGATACGAGTGAGAATTGAAAGTTAACCCACATGTACCTTTAAGCATTTCAAGGGAGTTTGCTGTTCTAAAACAAAGCAATAATAGATTTTAACTGGTCGAAGACAAGCACAGCTTACACATATATTTGTGTAGGTATATAGAGCCTATATTGAATATTGCCTTTTCAGTGATTTATTGTGATATGGTCTAAGATCCACGATATATTAAGACTGACCTTTCCGACTCCTGCCAGCTTTTGTCGTCTGCATCCTTGCTGCCATTTTTCTCCGTCTTGTCCTCCTTGTCCTCCCTCTTCCTCCCCCTCTTCTTCTTCTCCTTCTCCTCTTCCTCGGGGGGTTTGCTGCGGCAGGCGATGATGCAGTCGAGAACTCTCTGGTGTCGGTCCGTGGCTCCGGCGTGAGTTTTCACCAACGTCTCCAGCTCGTTCCACATTATACGATACTGTTCGTCTCTGGGGGGGGGGGGGAAACATGGAGTGAGTGACACGGCTTTTTAACTCTATGCATAATGACCAGAGGTGGGAAGTAGTGGAGTACAAATACTTTGTTACTGTTCTTAAGTACATTTTACATTTACTTTGACTTCTTACATTTTGAACACAAATACCTGTACTTTCTACTTCTTACATTTTGAACACAAATACCAGTACTTTCTACTTCTTACATGTTGAACACAAATACCTGTACTTTCTACTTCTTACATGTTGAACACAAATACCTGTACTTTCTACTTCTTACATGTTGAACACAAATACCTGTACTTTCTACTTCTTACATGTTGAACACAAATACCTGTACTTTCTACTTCTTACATTTTCCAAACAGGCTGGTTCCTTTAGTTTGAATGTGTGTTTGGTGGCGTGATCATTATTATTTAGAGTCATAGCGTGCCTATTGATTTGAACACGATCCGTGTATCCATCATTTCCTGGTCTTCTCTAAAGAAGAGGGACCAATGAAAACGTTGTCATGTTGCCGTTGTTCAGCATGGAAACATTCATTAGCTAACAATGACATTATTGTTCTATTAATATAAAGGGAGGTCAGGTACTCTTTAGAACAGCTGCTAGTTATGGGTACTTTTTACTGAAGTACATTTCAAAGCCCTCTTTACTTTGACTTGAGTAAAGAAGTTTAGTCAGTACTTCTACTTTCACCAGAGTATTTGTACTTCTACTTGAGTAAAGGATGCGTGTACTTTTGCCATCTCTGATAATTATTTTAGAATAAAGTACCTCTTGGGGCCTTTGCCTCTGGATCCCACGGTTGAAATAGGAAGTGGATCGTTCTTCCTCTCCATGTCGACCAGGTTGTAAACCGTCTTCTGGCAGGTCAGAACGTCTTCTTCAGACAAAGTCTCTTTCACTATCAGGTTAGCTAGAGGCACCACCTAGTGGAGGGAAAGAGGAAGACACACAGGGAGGAGGATGATGATGATGATGATGTGGGAGGTACAGTAGGTAGATTTTCTTTCATGTGTAGGAAAAAACTATATTTTTGTACATGGTGAGTGAAATCTAGCAGTAGAAGCACAGTATCTGTTGGTGTTGCTCACTCACGGCCTGCATGTTGAAGATGGTGGTCTGCGAGATGATCATTGGCCAGTACCGAGTGTGGCGCTCCAGCTGAGATTTGGCCCTCTCAGCTGGGAGCTTCCCCGAAGGATCATGGGAAGTCTCTGAAACAGGAGTGAGCCGGTTCTCCCTCATAAATTCCCCAAAATCCTGAAAGAGACAAAAAAAACGAGATCTGGTTTAAAGGTCCCCTATTATACTGTTTTTCCATCAATATATTATAGGTCTCAGATATATACAAAACATGTCTCTGAAGTGTTTGGCTCCAAACACCAAACAGATCATTGCAGCATCCCATAATCCCCTCTGTTCAGCCCTGTTTCCAAAGTGCTGATTCTCTGTCTGTTACTTTAGATGAAAATAAGGAGCCCCTCCCCCACGCCCCTCTGAGAGATATTTAGTTAAAAAGAACACAAAGTTGAAACTGAACGTACGGTGATGCGGTAATCTGTCACTCGGCCCCCGCAGCCCTCGCTGATGGAGGGCGGGTCTTCCAGGGTGGAGCGGTTGCTGTTGAGGACGTGAAGGAAGATCTCTCCTCCGTGGCTGCTGAGCATGTGGCTGATGACCTTTGACCCTGACTTCCTAGGCTGCTCCAGCAACACCGAGCGACCTGTGGTCAGTCGCGAAGAAAAAACTAAAGGTGATCAATAAAACAGTTAGTCTGGAGGGACTCAGGGAGAGAAAGACACAAATAGACATCAACGTTAAATAGTAAAAGCCAAAAATATTAGTATAGGTTTAATGTATTCTGGATTTGGAGGTAACTTATGTAAATGCCATACAATATTTGAGGAGCATAACTGCTTTAATACGGATAATTAACTAGATAATTGACACGTATATGTAGCCAAAACTCTCAAAATTGCAGTGCTTCGCTTTAAAAAAAGACAGTTTTCCAGCTTACCGTTGAGGAGGAAGTTAGTGAGACATGACGAAGGACGACTGTTCACGTCTGTGGGGGAGATGCGATATGCTCCTGTACAGTAATGCAGCTCTGAGGTGGAAAAAACACACACAAATAGATCAAAATCAAAATAAAAAGTGTGAATACTCGTCACAAAATGTGTAGTGGATCCTGAAATAGTAGATGGATAGTATAGACATTTCAAAATAACAAGGAGTCTTCTAACAAATAAGGCTAATATAACACTAAGAGAATTTGAATTTGTTTACTAACAAAAATGTAAATCTTAAAAGCAAAATCTGTGGGAAATATTTGATTTTACATTCTGATAAAAGCTTAAAGTGCCCATGTCATGCTTTTCTGGTTATCACCCGTCCCCTTGTGTGTTATGAAGGTTTTTCTGCATGTAAACGGTCTGCAGAGTCACAAACCCTCAAAGTACACCCTGTAGCGAGTAAAACTCTAACACAGAAAAGACCTGTCTGTGCTGCCCCAGAACGCCTCGTTGGAGATTTCTCTTTTTCCATTGTTTTCTTCCTGGGTATAGTGACGTGCCCATACCCAAATGGATCCGTGGAGCTCCTCACACACACACACTCTCAGCGGCTAAACTGTGACGCGCTGGGGAGGGGTGCTAGTGGAGCCTCGCAGCAGCTAAACTGTGGCGCGCTTACACTGTAGGTGCGCCGCGTTTGAGGGTGCGGGTGCTAGTGGAGCCTCGCAGATGGGGGTGCTGCAGCCCCCTCAGCACCCCCCTTCCCGCGTCCATTCGCGATGTCTTGCAGACCCCACGCAGCAACCAGGAAATGAACCCAGCTCACACTGTCGGCTCCTCGCAGCAGCGAGCCGCGCAACGTCCCGCCAACACGGCACCCAGACCCCTCCTCATCGGTTTGTCCTTACTGGTGTCATTTTCTGGTTGTTAACAAACGCCATTGTAACACATAATCACTGATGTTCCGCTGTAACAGTGGTGGACTCATCAGAACAGAGTGGGCGAGCTGACCAATCAGAGCACAGTGGGCTCATAGGGGGGGGGGACTATACAGAGATGCTGTATGAGAAACCAATGTGAGTTTGGAAAATAGAACAATATAAATCTATTCTAGTAGACCTCAACAATGGAATTATGATCAGTAGAAATGGCCATGTCATGGGACCTTTAAAAGCCTTAATATTAAATAAGATCTGACAATATGACCTCCAGCTGCTCCTACCTATGCTGTTGGTTCGAGGCGTGCACCACTTCAGTGTGATCGTCTCCTTCAGTCCGTTTTCTCTCGTGCTGCTGCCGGCCATATGCAAGTCTCCTGCAACACACAAAGGTCACATGTTAGGTGTTCATTTCTGAGAACAAGTGGATGAATACACAGTAGACTCCCAGTATATATATATATATATATATATATATATATATACTGGGAGTCTACTATATACACACAGGATGTTGTAAAGACTTCTCACCGCTTTTAAAGAACTCCATGTGAGCGTCTCTGTGATGCAGGAGCTCCACGTCGTAATTGGCCGACGTGTTGGCGTGCTGCTCTTCCTGCACATCCGCAGAAACAACAACACATACAGGTGAGTGGGGTGTCAGCTGTTCAAATGTGCCAACTAACACACACACACACACACACACACACAAACGCAGGGTCAAACACACATAACACTGCTGATTTCATGTTCCGAAGGGTAAATGAAAATGAACAAAGTAAAAGAAAAGAAGCTCTCTGGGTGAATTAAATATGATTTCTACTCACATCAGGGACTAGTGTTTAATGCATGAGTCTTTAAATTAACAAAATACTTGTTGACATAAATTATATATTTCCAAAACCAGATTTCATATACTGGGCCTGATGCTTAATATGCTGATTCGAAGCAAATTTGACAACTTTCTACACCTAAAATAACAGTTTCAGATGGACTAAAGGGGGAATCATTACACATATAACGGGTCAAGTTTAAAACTAAAACTAGTTCAATCCAGACAGCACAATGAACCACAACAAGACACTAAAGGGGGAGTGAGTAGGAACTGATGGGGGAACAGAGACCAAGGGGGAACTTTGGATAACTTTTAAAAGTTTAAAACACACAGGAGAGGCAACGCTGGTCAGAGAAGTTTGGACATAGAAACAATTGAATGAAACATTCAAACTCTGCATTATTTTTGAGCAGTTATGTCAGAAATATTATAAAAATCGGTGAACCAATGTAGTCCAAGCTTGTTTTAATGACAAAAAGTGAATTTGAGGTGTGCAGCAGACCGACCAGAGTTGCCCCGTCCTTCACTGGAGCCTCACCAGAAATCTGTAGACCAACTGTCACATCAAAACAAATTAAAAGACACTGTTTCTGCCTAGCAACAGCAGAGCTCCAAACATACACTGTGTACACTATGTGGTGTAAAAACTCTGACCCTCCCTTTCATGTGTGTGTGACAAGAGTACTAACCTGTTCGCAAACATTTAATGTGGGCTAGCAAAACAGAAAATACAGCATGAAACCAGCAGCAGAATCACAGTCAGATCAACATGCAGATGAGATAAAACAAAGTGGTGATGGGTAATTATCGGTGAGGGCGGGCGCATACGTAAAGATAAAAGCAAGCAAAAAAAAAAATGCGTCAAGGCTGTAATGGAATAATCAAAAATGATGGTTCACTGCATTCTGGATATGACATGTTTGTACTAGCAAAAGATTGTACGAGTCTAAATGGATTTGAATGAAGTCGAAGCATGTGCATGGTCAAGATGAAGGGCAGGAAGCCCCTTACCTTCATGGGGATGTTTGTGATGGTGGTGGAGGCCAGGTCATAGTGCTGCTGGACCAGGATGTTGAGTTTGGTGGCGAGGTGGCGCCCCGCACGAACCGAGTGAACCTCGCTGGTGAGCAGAGCGGAGATCTGAGGGGAGCGGGTGAAAGGAATACACAGGGTTAGATCCAGCAGTTAGTGCCATGTTCAATCAATCAATCAATGTTTATTTATATAGCCCAATATCACAAATGTTACATGTGTCTCAGTGGACTTTACAGTTTGTCCAGAATATCACTATGACAATACGACACGCTCTGTCCTTAGACCCTCACATCGTACAAGGAAACACTTCCAGAGAAACCCCAAAGTAAAAATGGAAGAAACCTCGAGGAGAGCAACAGAGGAGGGACGGGCAGACGTGCAATAGATGCCGTGTGTAAATTGAAAAGATAATACATTTTACAACATAGGTAGTCCAAATGTTTGGAAATGCATGTGTCTATAATAATAACATGAATCCACGGGGATGTTAACAATCCTGTGGGAGCCATCAGGGAAGTAGTATGGTGAGAGTCAGGCAGGACCACAGGGATAGGTTCAGACACTTTCATGTTTGGTTTATAAAAGTCTTCCTGGTGAGCACACACCTCTTTCTTGGGTCGGTCGGACACCAGCGGCTCCTCGCCCTGCGGGTGGATGTGAACCAGAACCAGGTCACACTGCTGGATTGCCATCAGCCTGAAACACACAAAGAGAGAGTTGCAAATAAGAAATTAAATCTAAGAGACAGAATCTGTACAAAACACTGCCTTGTCACATCTGTATTACAGCCTATTTTGACCCACATTCAAATCACTTAATAAAAAAAAGGGACAATGAGTACGATTTTCTCAAAAAGAATCCCTCTCAATAATCACTTATGACCCATGTGTGTCTGTATTGACGAGACCCTCTGCATGGTTCTTCTTATTTGTCAGATTAGGAAGTGTTACCATCCTTAAAAACCTAGCTTCCAGGAGCCAGATCAAAAGTATGCAGCCAAGAGGAAGTCACGAACAGGGCGAAAACAGCACGGGAAAAATGAAAATACAGCGAGGGAAACCCAAGCTGACTGAGCTGGTTATAAAAGGGAGTGTTTGGAAATCATACTCATTGTACCTCGAACAAGTCAGTGACACTTCTCTCTCCACACATCCTCTGATACTGACCTGTCAGAACCTGCTGCCAGACGGTTCTGTTCCAAAATGGTTTCTTGGATGCAGTCCTCCAACATGCGCACATGGGTATCGCTGTGAAGGAACACAAAACGAGCGCTGCATTAGCACAGTCAAAAATGATACAACAAGAGCTTCATTTAGAAATAGGAACTAATAAGGTAAATGATGACCGTAAGATATGACACTCCCACACACACACTCAGACACTCAAATCCAGCACCAGACACTTGTTACGCTGCTATGGACAGTCTTGCACTAATGTACATTTCCCAAAGATATTGAAGTGACTATTATTTTGTATATAGTGATTGTTGTGCTTTTATTTACTTCGTAATGTGTGCATGTGTATAAATGTGTCTGTTGATTGTGTATATATATAGGATATACATATTTGTATACATATTTTTGTATTCGGGATTGTGGGAAACGGTATTTCGATCTCTCTGTCTGTACACACAAACTGAAAGGTTGACAATAACAGACTATAACACTCCTTGTTGTTAAATACCAACTATGTGCAATATATATATATATGCCGTTAATAACGGTGCAATATATGCCTGGCTGCTAAATCCTCAGAACGGTTACAGGATGTGTTTTTTTGTAAATTGTGTAACTTCTGTATTATTTTATGCATGCTTCTTAGGTAACATTAAGCTGTCTTTGGCTCTTTTCTGCTGTAACAATGTACATGTCCCCTCTGTGGGACTAATAAAGTTATTCTGATTCTGATGAAGCTGACTTTGATGAACATAGATTATTTGTAAAGTACAAAACAGTGACAATTCAGAGTTACTGAGAGGCAAATGAATCTATCAAAAAGTCGATATAAGCGTCTACCTCTTAGCGTTGGTCAGGCAGATGATGCGCCCCCTGTTGGCCACTCTCTCCGCGGTGTCCATCATGTCGGTGCGCCTCTCGTGCTGCAGCTCTGTGATCTTACACAGCGACTCCACCGCAGCCACCAAGCCGTGGAGGATGCTGCAACACTCGGGGTCCTCGCGGGGGTTAGGTGGCCCGACGGCGGCCAGAGCGGACATGAGCTGCCAGAGGAGAGAAACCGCATCGTCACATGCCAGACTTCTGCAAACACGTGGTCACTGATGATCTTTAGAAATGTGGCACGTCTCAGAAATGTGGCAAACGCAGCTTGTAAATGCAATACCAACAGGGATTATACACGTTATAATTGTTACTGTGACTGAGTTCTTGTGGGCAGTGGATTACCTCATGAGTGCTCTGGTCTTCCTGCCTCCATGTATTCAAGATGTGGAACTCTGAATCACTTACAACGTAATTAATCTGTCAAATAAAGAGATGTGAAGTCATTAGTGCTTGGTTACTACATTTATTCAATTGTTTTTTAAGCATATCTCATATAGTTCTCCTCATATCTAATAGACTGTCTGTTTTGTATACATTTCAATATTCACACACTTTTAAGGGGAGAAAATAGATGTCACAATTAAAATTCCCCAGTTGGTAACTAAAAGTAAGACAATTATTTTTGTATAAGATAAGAAGTACTTTATTGATCCCAATTTGGGGAATGTTTGCATTGCTGCTGCAGCGTGCGTAGGTAGGTAGATAGATAGACACAGAGAGAGAGAGAGGGAGATAGATAGATGTTTGCATTGCTGCTGCAGCGTAGGTAGGTAGGTAGGTAGGTAGGTAGGTAGGTAGGTAGGTAGGTAGGTAGGTAGGTAGGTAGGTAGGTAGGTAGGTAGGTAGGTAGGTAGGTAGGTAGGTAGGTAGGTAGGTAGGTAGGTAGGTAGGTAGGTAGGTAGAGAGAGATAGATAGATAGATAGGTAGGTAGGTAGGTAGGTAGAGAGAGATAGATAGATAGATAGATAGATAGATAGATAGACACAGAGAGAGAGAGATAGATAGATAGACACAGAGAGAGAGAGATAGATAGAGAGAGAGAGGGAGATAGATAGATAGATAGATAGATAGATAGATAGATAGATAGATAGATAGATAGATAGATAGATAGATAGATAGATAGATAGATAGATAGATAGATAGATAGATAGATAGATAAATAGATAGATAGATAGATAGACAGACAGAGAGAGAGATTGATAGATAGATAGATAGACACAGAGAGAGAGAGAGGGAGATAGATAGATAGATAGATAGATAGATAGGCAGGCAGACAGACAGATAGATAGATAGATAGATATACAAAATGCAAATTAAGTAACACTTTAAATGTCCCTGCTGTGGGACAAATAGAGCAATTCTGATTGGAGAAACAGTAAAAGATATTTCAGCCTTGGATAAAAAAACAAAAATAAGGAGCTAACCAGTTTGTGCAGGGGGTAAACGTCGTAGAGGATCCGGCAGTACTCCATGCTGCACTCCACAGCGCAGGTCCACAGGGATTTGGACACCGGGGCCAGAGGAATAACCCCCTGCCCTCGACTCTTCGTCAGCACGTCACACTCCACCTGCTGCCGGCTGGACTCCGCCATGTATGGACAGTGATCCACCACGAACACCGTCTTGTGAGCCACGGAGAAGATCTTCATTTTGTAAATCTAACGTGTGGACTGATCTGAAAAGGGATAACAGAAGGACACACCGCTGGATTTAAATACCTAAGTACACACAGAATTATTAAAATAACAAGCCAAGAGTAGAACAACTAAAACAATGCCTGTATTGTAAAGTATTCTGTAAGTCTGAATGACAGGGATCATATTTAAGTTAGATTACTGCCTTACAAATGGAAAACATCTCCTGTATACATGTACTACTTCTGATCATGCATATGTGTAAATGCATATATTACTTTTCATTATGATTTCCTGTCCATTTGAAACACTTACTATCACAAATGTATATTTTTAAATGTATAACTTAAACATTGTATGACTCGGATTTTGCTTTCGGGGTATGGTGGTACAAACATAAACAACACAAGGAAATACATTGTAAGAGAAGGTCAAAAATATAACAATTATGAAATGAAAATATTTAAAAAAACGATTAAACCTTTAAAAAAAATAAAGACAACTATTTTTCTATCATATAATTATTATTTTAAGTGGCAGGTTGTTTAGGGAAATTAAAAACGACATTTTTTACGTTTCTTGGTATTCTCTGATGATTAGGTTATACATATAAGTATGGCAAACTCACCTGGAGAAAATCTTCCCGGTTAGGAAATAATCTGATCCAAATAGAGACCGTGACTTCTCTCTTTAGGTCAAAGTATGACCATTAAAAGGAGATATTATTCATCAATAGCTTCAAGCTAACACGACTAGTGCTAAAGTAGCATGTCGTCCTTTAGCTAAAACTAGCCGCAATCTTTTATTTACTGATTCGCGTTTATCCCCAGCGACACAAACACTCACCCATCATGGTGATATACTAAAATTAATGTTTTATATTAAGTCTTTGATAACCTAACTGTTCAGAATGACACAGCAGAGACAATGCATTTTAAGCCGCTTCAAGCTAGCAGGTTTGTTATTGGCGGAAACCATGGCGGCATAAAAGGTCCGTCACTCGTTTCCTTCCCCCTCCTGCTAAGCCGCATTCAAGGTTCCTTTAAAACAAGGTGACTTAAGCACTTTGAAATGTTGGGAATTATGACCATTATCTGAATCAACGAAGAAATCACCGACGATTTTATTTTGAATCCTGAGAGAAATCTATTCTCTGTGGCTTGTACAAAGTTGCTTTTACTGCTTGTGTGTGATAATGCCTTGTTTGTTGTAGATAAATAAAGTTGTATAGGTAAAAGAAAAAGGGTTAAAGAGAACGGTAAATTCCCACGTTGGTGTTACCTGAACACCTCAAACAAAAGAAGAATGGTTTATCTTAAAAATATGTTTAAAATATGTATTTTGACCTGAGATTAAAGTCAGAATTCTGAGATTTTCAGAACAAATATAATCTTCTTTTTTTAAATATGATTGTATTATATAAAAAATGAACACTTTTTTTCCCTCAGAATTCAGACTTAAATCTCAGAAAAAAAAAAAAACTATCTGGTCAGATCTATAAAAAAATAATCACACAAGGCCCTAATCCCCTTCCGTAGAAGAAATATGTAAATAACAACAATGTAAAGTAACGTTAGCCTACAGGTACATTGTGTTCACATACACATGTGTTAATTGGCATGCTAAGCAAGAGGAATGAAGTGGGCGGAACTGATCTGTCAAAAGTGCTTCAGTCTTGAACAAAACACCTCCTCCTTCTTCTCCTTCTCCTCCTCCTTCGACCCCACCCGTTTCCATTCTCTCAAGTCTTAACTTGAGAAAAAACTTAATGTGGCGGAGATATTTGGAAATAAAGCAAGAATGTGCGGATGAAGGGGCTGCGCTGTGAAGAAGCCATTGTGAAAACACACCACAGACTGAGGGGTGAAGTAAAGTTGTTCTGCTCTCGGTGACATGACTGGAGAACCAGAACCAGGACTATGAGCAATAACGACATTTTCGAGATGGATTCTTTGTGTGACTCAGAGGAGATGGAGGGTGATATGGAGCTGGGCATGATAGACGAGGACATGGGTAAGAAATCAGCGATGTTTGATTTTTACAAGGTGTGTTGTGTGCATGTGGTGTAAAGTGCATTTACTCTATTACTGTACTTTAGTGCAATTTTGAGGTTCTTGTATTTGTATATTTTTGCTACTTTGTTCTTCTACTCCACAATTCAGAGGTTAATATTGTACTTTTACTCCGCTACATTTATGTAATACCTTTGGCAGTGGTGTAAAGTAACTAAGTAGATTTACTCAAGTCCTGTAAACATTTGAGGGACTTGTACTTTACATGAGTATATTGTATGCTACTTTCTACTACAAATCCACTACAATTCAGAGATAAATCACGTACTTCTACTCCACTACATTTATGTAATACCTTTAGTTACTTTACAGATCTGCATTAATGATGTGAAATATAATCAAGTCTTAAATCAGACTTTAGTTCCACCTGGAGTAAATTCACAAGCTACCATGCAGTATACAAAGTCATTCAAACTAGCTGCACCTTTACCAGCTTTGAGAACACTTTAATGATCAATCATTATAAAACATATCATATATAATATTCTGAAATGGACCAATCTGCACAATGACTACTTTTACTTTTGGTACTTTAAGTATATTTTGATGCTCATACTTTTGAACTTTTACTTGAGTTCATTATTGTTTACCCATGTCTACCATCATGAAATCAAATCTGTTGTGTATACGAGATAATACAGAAGTGTGATCAACATTCAGATCATTCATGTGCAGCAGAACAACTGTGGGGGTGTGGTTAACACATTTTTAGGAAGGCAGAAACTCACACACCACAATCGCAAATACATTTAGATAACAGATGTTGGGCAATCGTCAGTTAAAAAGCAACTCTCAAAACCAGCTAAAGTCCCTGTGTCTTATAGAGACGTGGCTCTTTGAAAGGCTAAATAAACTCAACCCATTCACACTCTTTTGTTTCTTACATTGTTCACATTCCTGATGCTCAAAACTGTAACAGCAACTTAACTTTGGAGTACCGTAAATATAGAGTTGGAAAGATACAGCTGTCAGCTCCCACTCTTCACTCAATCTGTGAGCTACACTGAGTCTGGCCTTGTCAATAATGACATATTGTTTGGTATAATGGCATTCACTATGAGAGACAAATGATCCTTTGGGTTAACTTGTCAGAAATATGTAGAAGACTCGGAACATTACACAACGTGCACTTTTTTGAAAGGGTTCCTAATCTGCTTTTTGTGGTTTTCCATTTCCTGTAGTGGGTTATGTACTGTAGGTTTTTGTGCATGTAAATGGAAACGTCTCCATTGGACACCTTTGTTTACTTCCCTAACATAGTGACATCCCTATATGTAACACTTGCACTTCTATTGGCTAGCGCTCCAACACATTGTACGTGATAGGCTAAGGGGCGGGACATCTCTAAGCGGTTGACCAATCACAACAGAGCCGGCCAGCTAACCAATCAGAGCAGACTGGGCTCTGGTTTCAGACAGAGGGTGAAAAGAGGTGCTGCAGCACAGGCAGTATGAGAAAAATAAAGAGCTTTTTGAACATTAAAGCATGGAGACATGTCCCAGTAGAGACACAAAATACTGATATACACCTGAACATCAGCAGGAGAGGACTCTTTAAGGTAGAGACACTACATACTGATATACACCTGAACATCATCAGGAGAGGACTCTTTAAAGTAGAGACACTACATACTGATATACACCTGAACATCAGCAGGAGAGGACTCTTTAAAGTAGAGACACTACATACTGATATACACCTGAACATCATCAGGAGAGGACTCTTTAAAGTAGACACTACATACTGATATACACCTGAACATCAGCAGGAGAGGACTCTTTAAAGTAGAGACACTACATACTGATATACACCTGAACATCATCAGGAGAGGACTCTTTAAAGTAGACACTACATACTGATATACACCTGAACATCAGCAGGAGAGGACTCTTTAAAGTAGAGACACTACATACTGATATACACCTGAACATCATCAGGAGAGGACTCTTTAAAGTAGACACTACATACTGATATACACCTGAACATCAGCAGGAGAGGACTCTTTAAAGTAGAGACACTACATACTAATATACACCTGAACATCAGCAGGAGAGGACTCTTTAAAGTAGAGACACTAAATACTGATATACACCTGAACATCAGCAGGAGAGGACTCTTTAAAGTAGAGACACTAAATACTGATATACACCTGAACATCAGCAGGAAAGGACTCTTTAAAGTAGAGACACTACACACTGATATACACCTGAAGAAGGGCAGAATATGTCATCTTGAATATAGCCTTTATTCACTTGTTATACATTATGTACAGACACACTGTCTCTGCCTTTTATGCTGTAATAACTGCAGTACAACACGTTTAACTTGTACCCAACACATGGTGCATTTAACCCAGATCGCACCACAGTGTTTCTGTGGTTAGATGTATATGAGGAAGAGAGCTAGTCTAAACTAATGGAGGCATGTGTTAATGAAAATGAATCATAACATTTTCCATTCAAAACACCCACTTAAAGGAACTATCTGCTATTACTTAAGTCTGATTTTAGAGCTGATTCTTTTCCTGTGTGAAGACATTGCACTCTGCTGATGTCATTTAATGCCCAAGTGTGTGTGATGCAGAAAGTATTTCCTGTCAGATGGTGAGAAGAAGCACACTAAGCTGGCGTATTTTAAAGTTTTGTGTTTAACAAAAACGTTTGTTTGTTTGTTTGTTTGTTTGTTTGTTCTGACTTTAATGTTTCGGGTGTTGTCAAGGAAGATGTTCTCTGGAGAGGAAGTGGGTGCTGGGTTGTGGCATGAAAGCAGATTTGTATTGCAGACAGCTTGTGGGCACTCAAACGAATCATACTTTCCGACTCACTTTAGGTTGCAGAGGCTTCCCATAAGTGTTTCATCATTGGGGTACTACAGTTTGACCTCCACTCTACAGCAAACAATGTAAACAATTAAAGAACACAGCCAGAGGGAGCTTTGTTTTATTACAGGGAGGATCGTTTTTACTGGGAGGATTAAGGCTTATAATACATCAGTTTAAAAAGGTAGAAATACAGTAAACCAGCTCCTATTAGGGTTTTTTCTTTTCTGTAAGAGGATTCATATATCAAAAAGTACTCCTGCAAGTTACTAATTGCTCTGCATCTAAACAGGAGTGGCCTGAGGCACAGTCATTAAGGATTAGCGGGATAATTTGTTACTGGTTCACCAGCGGCATGTATTATATCCAAACACTGACAGGCTTTTTTGAGCTTTCTTAGACTTCAGACTGCTAGGCTGGTAGTGAACAGAGTGAAAGGAAAGTCTTGTGATGAAAAGTAATTCCACAGTGAGGATTCCCAGTGTGTTACTATGGCTAGTCCAGTGTTTGGAAAACAACATCTGTCTTCAGTTAGTTTTCTCATAGCACTGCACTTTATATGGAAAGATTATAGGAGATTCCATGTTTCATGTAATGTCATTGCAAAATAAGACAACTATTATATTTATGAGGGATATAATAATGTCTACAGTAGTTTATGATATTGTTTTTGTTTAGTTGTGATGTGGTTTGATTCCTGAGGGCAGACACTAAATGAATACTTGGGAAAACCCTGCATTACATACTGAGTGTTGACCTCATTGAAGTATTTTCTTTTTCCAGTGAGTGATATGACATTGTGGGTGTGTTGCTAGTTGTGTGCAAGCTTTAAAAATGTAGCAACAACTGAGGTTTGGCGAAATAGGCTCGTAACAGGAGGTTGAAACAGTTTTAGAAATGAGTAACAGGCGTTGCTGCTTCAGTAAGCACCTCTGAAGCAGAACATGAATATATTATCATTGTGATTCCATGTGTGTGAATGTTTGAAAGAGCAGGGATTTGTAGACATTGTAATGTCAGTAGCTCCTTCACTAACAAAAAAGCTAGAAATAGCCTATTATACACAAACACCTGGGAAACTACTCAAAATGGCTTCTGTGATAGTTCCCAGTTTCTCCAGAAGTACACTTTCCATGGTCACACACACACAGATGCACACACAAACACACACAGACTCTTAAAGTTAAAAAAGCAATACCAGCGTCGCGGCTGGTTACAAGGCAAACGCATACAGCCATGCTTTTTTGAGCTAAATGCTAACGGTAGCTGCTAACGTGCCCACTGTGAAAATGCTAACACACTAATGTTTGAAATCTTCTTAGTTTAGCGTGTTAGCTTTGACAGTACACAGACACAGGATAATGTAGCTAGCATTGACTAAATGTATTACTATATGATCATTTTGACAAAATAAAGAATAGCCAAATAATGTCTTTCATGAAAATGTAAGTTTATTTCACCCCTTACTTACAATGTTAGTGTTTGGGTTGGACCACCTGTAGCACAAAGATCTCTGGACAAAGTCTTGCTTAATATTAAAACTCAATGTATGCTGGATATATCAGCTGTTGTTCATTGAATACTTGAAAGTAGGCTGCAGGGTCAACTCTTAGTCCAGGGTTAAGGATAGCCCTTAATGGGATATGCAGTGTAAAAAAAGCCCATTGTGGTTTTAAACTGGTTTAATTAAACCTTGGATCTGTTTGCTCTGTCCTAACAAGCCAAGTCTTACTGTATGATTATGTAAGTTTAGGTAAGGTATGAATTACTTAAATATCAATGTTTTATCAGTCTACACTTTAATACATAATAACACCATTTGTAGAAAATGTTCCCACCAAAATAACATGTAGCAATTTAGTTCAACTACTTAAATAGCCTCAGGCAAGTAAACAATTCACAGGTGTCTCAACCGCCTACACTGTTGAGAAACAGCCCTGTTTGTTAGTTTGAACCTTGTGACAGAGCCTGTATACAAGGTGAACATGTTCAACTTTTAGAAATTAAAAAAGAAAGTAATCTGCAGCAAAGTTAATGACAAAATAGCAGTCCTTATATTTGAGTACAATACAAGTTCAACAGTAAAAGTAATATAAGACAAGCCTTTGAACACAATTGTAATGATTGAATAATTGTAAATGAAACCACAAAACAAAGCTACTCTAAATGTAACGTACAAGTAAGCATTTGCATTGGGTGCTGCATTTAATTTTTCCATACACACATGGAGATTATGAAATGTGATAACACCATGTCAATATCATCCAGCTAATGTATTTGTCAAGTAAATATTCACCTAGATTTGTTTTTTTTTGTTTATTATAATGTCTTTATTCCCATGTTTTTGTTGTTTCTATTTTCACAGTTTACCCCAAGAGGCTTTTACCAACTAATCACAGTATTGAAGAAGGAGCGACAGTCAACAAAGCACGACTGGTGAGTCTACACATGTTGTCAGCTGTAGTAGCAGCACATCAATCAAAAGGCACTCTTTGTAGAGAGGGTGTGGATTGACTCTTTTAAATAAACTGTCATACTGACCCGGATGCCTTGTACGGATCTGTATTCTAATTCTGAATTAAATAGTTTTCTTTACTGTGTTTATGACTTAAGAGAAGGTGACAAAACGCTTTTGGTGAACGATTTTTTCCAAGAGGCTGAAGAGATCCATTATGTTTTAAATAGTACTAATTAGAATACATTACTATCCAAAACAAAGACATGATAGCAAGGTTTCTTAACGTACTGACACAGAATACATGTGCCTTGTGTTGGAAAAATGTAACTCATGTTGAAGCAAACATGACTGCTTTTACGCACTTCAATTTCTCTATGGCCAAAATGATTATAACGTTAACAAACTCCTAAAAGAAAAATCATTTTCAAAAGCTTTTTTCACCTGTTATCACAGATGTCAAATAATACATTTTAACAATTATCCTAGTTTTGTTCCCCTACCTGTTTCACATATGCAACAATAAAGAAAACTTAGAAAAATAAAGTTTTAATTTAAGAGAAAAGACATTTTTATTTTCTCAATTGGCCACTCAGGGCTTCCGTAGAATAGCCTACATGCACGATATATATCGTACACATGTAATTTAAAGACATACCTGTATTTTAAATCATTATTCTTAACACTGTTTTCTTAGGCTTTCTCAAGGCACACTGAGAAAACTGACATTAATTAAATGTATTTTGTCAACAGATTTCTGTATTAGGTTAGATGAAAGCAATAATATTAAGTTCAATCTAATATGTTTTATTAATATTATTGCTTTCAACTAACCTAATACAGTTATGTGAAATCTGTGGACATAATACATTTAATTAAAGTCAACATTTCAGTTTTTTCAGTGCACAATTATTAAGATTACTGGACCACAAGACACCAAATGACCACCCAATGCACAGTAAAAACACAGTAAATTCATTCACACACACATCAATTATGCATGTAATCTCATATGCCGTGCATGAGCGTTATTAATACCTAGCGGTGTCACAAGTCAGTGTGGAGAGGAAGGGCGGGTATCATTGTGTTTGTTGACACTCCCGCTTTTCCTGCATGGCCCACAGCACACATTATAAAGTGAAGGTCAGTCAGACGCTCACGACAACACAGACCTTCCTTATCTCTGTGCAACATGTACGGCACCTTGGAGGAAGAGGAGTTCGAGTTTCAGGACGTAGACTTACCTGACGAGCCTTGCTTTCGTCCTCAGGCAGAGTTTAATGACAAACCCGACTCCTTGTTCTTCAACGACGGGGTGAGGAGGATCGACTACATCCTGGTCTACGAAGATGAGGATAAGAAGGACTTTGAGAAGAGGTACATATTCCAGCGGCGCAAGGTGAGTTTATGGCTTTTATTTGTTATTATTTTTAAGCTGGGTGCTTCAGATTGGTATCTGGTGCTCACATAAAGCTTACAAAGTAATAAGTCAACTACAGGTATAAAGTAATCTACTCATGAGAAAAATCATGTGTAAAATATGTGTTTTGTTTCATTTTGTTGCATTTCCAAAGCTATTTTCTATGCATTATTTAGAAAGCGTGCAGCAAACAAAGACAGGAAGAGTAGGAAAGAGAGAAATTCCATAACCTGTTTTGAAAATATCAGACTCTTTAATAACCGTATACATTTCATTGCTCCTCCTATAATGACAATAAATATAATTCTGATCCTTCGTCTGATTTTACAGTAAGATTCGCTATCAAATCTTCTGTTTTATGAGTAAACACACATTGAAACTAGTAGCTAAGTAGTCATACACACTTGGTAAAAGTCAAACAATGTTTTTATATGGATGAATACGCCTATTTGTAAAGGGAGTTTTTATTCGCAGCAGGATTCCGGTATATGACAGTTTATTTAAGCACTTACTAAGTATTAACTGACAGTGTATACTCGGCACAGGAACTTAAATAATGCTTTAATTTTCCAGGACAGGGAGTATATTAGATTGTACTTCTCTTTTATTCAGCACACAGTTTCAATGAGAGTTATTCATCCCAGCAGCTGGCTAGATTCCCATAGGGAAGTTATGGAAATGAAGAGCGTTACTCTGTGACTTACACAACCAAACCCTCTCCATTAGAAACTAAATCTTCTTTTTCAAACTGAACCTTGTTATCATCCTGTTCCAGACATTTTAAACCATCAGATTAACAGAGAGAAGCAGGTGTTCTGGGTTATGCGTGGCTTCAATTTTACACTTTTACACACTAGATTTCAGGGATCTGTGCAGGGATTGCACAAATGAATGACACAGAAACGTTATGACATACCCAGGTGTGTTGTTTGTGTCTGCCAGTGTCTTTCACAACGGCTTTGACAGTGAGGGATGTGTAATATAAGGCCTAGATCTGCAGACCACTGGTATCAGCACTGTTGCAACCATGGTTTTGAAATTTTTACCAAAAAGTGAGGGCTTTAATAGGTGAAAATACTGCATATTTATATATTAATATACACCATATTCTACCCTGCTGTTTATATATCCTATTTATGCTAGCACTTTTATTCTGAGACAGGAGCTTTCGCCTAGTTTTTGACTTTTATGTTTGTTTGTATGTATAGTTTCTTAGTACTTAGGTGTGGAAAGCTGAGCGTAAGACTTTCATTGTACAGTGCAGCTGCCTGTTATACTGTACATATGACAAGAACATATCTCTATTTATGCTGATAGGAAATATACATGATGGAGAAGGGAGGTTTAGAAAGATGAGATGAGTTTTAACTAGTAGCGTCTTCACCACAGATCCACAGGGACTGAAGCAATTCCTCAATTATCCCAAAGCAAACTAAATCCAACAAGGGATGAAAATGACCACAGTCTACAGCCGGCACTCCCTTTGCTTTGTGTTTCCCAACGTTGGTCAAACAGAAGTTGCTAAATTTTTGTTTCCTGACTCTTCTTACTGCTATAGGGCGTGGCTCACTTCTGATAATGTTAAATACTTCTCTTAAAATATTGTGTTTACATTTCCATGCACTGGTATTTCCCGTGTAATGATAACAGGGTTGGCTGAACTAACAGTGAAGGTATTTTGTCAACAGTCTCTCAGAGGTTTTCCTTGGAATTGTATTTCCTCGGATGATGGACAACTTGTAACTGAGCTTTTCTATTAGCTTCTATCTATTTTATTTTTATATTTAAACCCAATTCACTACTTTTTTGTGTGTTTTTGCTTATAGAAAAGCTGTGAAGCCGTATGCAGGATGTGGTTCACTGTAGTAGGCTATTTACTGACATGCTATGACTTGCCTTTCATGCCACTGTGTGCAGTGTACATATTTGCCTATGTCATGGAATTGGAACATGTCCAAATAAATAAGCCACACATTCTTCAGGTTTCTTTAAATAAATCTAATTTAATGACATCTTAAGACTTAAAATATTTAATGAATTTGTATATCAAGGTGATAATGTGGCAGCACATGCTTTACACGAAATACAAAGATAGATGTGTAGATTAGTTTTATATTAGATTTCTTGTTTTATATTTTATGTCTGCACCATGACATCAAGTCAAATTCTTCTTGTGTGTGAACCTACCTGGCAATAAACCTGTTTCTGATTCTGATCCTGATTCTGATTCTGATAAATACCTATACATCCAAAACAGTATCTAATGTGTAGCCCGGGTGTAAATAGCATTGTTAGCTACAGACACCCGGGTGTAAATAGCATTGTTAGCTACAGACAGAGATGGGGTCGTTACTAAAAAAAAGTAATATATTACATATTACATATTACTTTAAAAAAAAAGTAATATATTACACTACTTCGTTACTCTCTACATAAAGTAACTCGTTACTTTACTCGTTACTTTACTCGTTACTTTACTCGTTACTTTACTCGTTACTCGTTACTTTACTCGCAGGGCCGGGCCGCCCCTCCCTACAGGCAGATCACGCAAACTGCTAAAGTTTCAAATGTTCTCTTTAGTTCAGTTTCCATTGTCGCATAAGACTGATCCAGATAGCTCTGACCATGGCTGTCCTCTGTCTCCTGCTATCTGTATTTTGCGCAGTATATCTCTGAACGATGCGATGGTGATTCCACTGTGCAAATGGGCAACATTACCTCTACTATGAAGGATGCTACAAGCCTGTCCATCTCTGCTTTGGTTACCGGTCCTCCAAATTCTAATTTGTGCCGCTTCGGAGTCGGCGGCTGCGCACTCACAACATCCTCACTCTGGGTTCGGGGGTCCTTAGCTATTAGCTTCACCTTAGCATGTGTTCTTTGCAGGTGTTTGTTGAGGTTTGACGTGGTGTTTACAGCAGTGGATAACAGCTTCTGGCCTGGACACAGTTTGCACCTCACCGTCACATTCCTGTCTATTCTTCGGACGAACTCAAAATAATGGACATACCTCCACCCCTCGAAAGTTATCGCTGACTCTGCCATGTTTATGCAGCACTGCACGTGGAGATGTGGACGCGCAAGTCGCGCAGATTACGTACATATAAACCTGCGGCGGAAACCCCTCTTGTCTGTCAGTGTGATTATGACTGATTTTATAAAAGTAACGAAGTAACGCGTGTCGGGGCAATGTTAGTAACTGTAGTGTGATTACTGAATTATAAAAGTAATGCGTTACACTACTCCGTTACCGACAAAAGTAATATTATTACAGTAACGCGTTACTTTGTAACGCGTTACACCCAACTCTGGCTACAGACACCCGGGTGTAAATAGCATTGTTAGCTATGGACACCCGGGTGTAAATAGCATTGTTAGCTACGGACACCCGGGTGTAAATAGCATTGTTAGCTACCAGACACCCGGGTGTAAATAGCATTGTTAGCTACGGACACCCGGGTGTAAATAGCATTGTTAGCTACAGACACCCGGGTGTAAATAGCATTGCTAGCTATGGACACCCGGGTGTAAATAGCATTCTTAGCTACCAGACACCCGGGTGTAAATAGCATTGTTAGCTACAGACACCCGGGTGTAAATAGCATTGTTAGCTACCAGACACCCGGGAGTGAATAGCATTGTTAGCTACGGACACCGGGGTGTAAATAGCATTGTTAGCATCAGACACCCGGGTGTAAAAAGCGTTGTTAGCTACGGGCACCCGGGTGCAAATAGCATCTGCCTTATAATAATAATTATAATAATAATGGCCTTTAAAAATAAACAATAACACTTATCTTGATTTAATTTAAATTCAAAACAGCTTTATCAATCTGACCAATTTAGAAATATGTTTTAAGATCACCTTTATATATCTCCGTCTTTCAATCAGCTTTATTATACTCTAAATCTGTTGGTGTTTTTCTTTTAGTAATAGTAATTAATTTGAGTATTTATCATCCCTTAACATAATTATTATTTATACATTTATTTATTTTTATTTAATTTTAATTCAGTATATTAATTCAATAATTATTGGGGCTGTTATACCCAAACTGCTTTTGGGTTTAAGGCACAAGGTAAGTTATGTTTCTCTGTTTGGTTTTGCTAATACTATATGGAATAAACTAGTCTGTGTTCTGTTGTGTTTTGAAAGTACATGTATGGACAGAATAAGTCAATAAACAAAAAATCCACAGAGAGGAGGAGAAGCATGAAATCTGATTTTTTTTTCTTTCTCTGCAGGGGCGGCGGGAGTACTTTGAGGCCAGCCTGATGGAGATAGGAATAGAGCTGGAGGCGACACAATCTGTGAGTAGATCACACTTTAAGATGGTTTATTTTCTCGCATCTCATACCTTTCCCGGTTGAGGATGGACCCAAATGCAGGACAGAGGTTTTGAACATCAAAAATACCTCTAATTCAAGGTAAACAGGCAAAGCAGGGCAAGTCAAAACAAAAGTAACAACACAGAAGACAGAAAATGTCCATTTATAACATACAAGGAATTGACAACAACTAACAACTTGATCTTGAATACAATCAATCCGGAGGGAAAACATAGAGACAGGAAGTAAAAGCAGACAAACACAGAATTTTCTAAATAAAACAGGAAACAGACAGATCGTGAAACTACTTTAAAGACTACTTCTTGGTGTCCTGCTACTATTGTAAAGACAATAAAGTTGAATCTAATCTAATTTAACACCCAAGATCTCTTAAATTTCCCTTGTTAACCTAATCCAGAATACTTGTTAGACCACCCTCTTTAACCTGTTAAGCCCCAAAGCCCCCGTCGACGGGTCTTTTTTTTTTTCTCACAAATTAAAAAAAAAAAAAAAGTTTTTTTTTAATTTTTTAATTTTGTATTAATTTTTTTTCTTTAATTTTTTTTTCTTTGAATGGAATGAATACCTATGGTGATAATTCAATGTAATACATCATTTTTATAGTCTGGTACCTGAAAAAGGTCAAATGGCACTGATGGAACCAGATATACCCAAATGTGCCGAAAGCTTATTCCGCCTGGAACTTTTTTTGCTAAACCTCTCTAAAAAGGTCAAATTTGACTTGTTTTGCCTCAATCTTGATACAGGGTACTTATTATATGTTATAGTTTGGATTCCTAAAGCTTTTAGTCTACCATCCCATCATTCAAGGGTGGTTTTCACTATAAGTAATGTTTTTTCTTTAGGCGGAGGTAAGAATTTACCTTTTTTTACTATGTTCCATCTGAATTTACTTTGACTGAGAAAAATCTATATTGATTCTGACACTTCTACATCCAACTCACAGATGTAACCTTGCTTTGATAAAAGAAATTATTCATATAACCCTTTTAGAAGTGAAGTTGTAGTCATTTGTTTTGGGCATGTCATTTTCGAGCCTGAAACCTGAAAAACAGGCTCGGGGCTTAACAGGTTGGGTTTTGGCTTGTGTAACCATTAGCCAATCACCAACCAAGGTAACCCCCCCCCCCCCCCCCCCCCCACACACCTTATCACCTGAAGATTCTCTCACTTTTTGTCCTGATCCATTTATATAAAAACCTGTCTGAAAATGAGTTGATCAGATTTTGGCCACTTTATGATGTCATAACGATGTTTTGGCTTGTGTAACCATTAGCCAATCAGCAACCAAGGTAACCCCCCCCCCCCCCCCCCACCTTATCACCTGAATCTCCTCCTAGAGCACCATTGTGTTCTTTTTAACCAAATCTCTCTCAGAGGGGCGTGGGGAGGGGCTCCTTATTTTCATCTAAAGTAACAGACAGAGAATCAGCACTTTTGAAACAGGGCTGAAACAGAGGGGATTATGGGATGCTGCAATGATCTGTTTGGTATTTGGAGCCAAACACTTCAGAGACATGTTTTGTATATATCTGAGACCTGTAATATATTGATGAAAAACAGTATAATAGGGGACCTTTAAAGTGTGAGATACAGGAGGAGAAACATCATTATGACATCATAAAGTGGCCAAAATCTGATCAGCTCATTTTCAGACAGGTTTTTATATAAATGGATCAGGACAAAAAGTGAGATAATCTTTTTTCCTGAAACTTTCCGAATATCTTTACTCAGAGGGGACACATGTTTATGTATAAAATACCTGAAAAAGTGGATTTTGCATAATAGGTGACCTTTAAAGACTCCTTCTTCCTCGTGTCCTGCAGGTAATAAATGACAAGCTGCTCTTTGTGAAAGTGCACATGCCGTGGGACGTGTTGTGCGCCCGCGCAGAGGAACTGCACATCAAGCTGCCCTTCGAGCCCAACGACCTGTCCTCCAGACCCTCGCCCTGGCGACACTTCTCCTGCATCACCAAACACTTCTACCCCGACGAGCAGCTGATCATGAAGGAGAAGGAGAAGGAGTTCTTCACCGCCCCCTTTGAGAAGGACCGTCTGGAGTACTTCCACGTGAGGGACAAAGACCTTTTCTTCACCGCCGCCATGAGGAGCAGGATGGCAAGTGGTTTTTATTTCAGTTTCATTATACACACATATTCACATTTTAGTCAATGGTTTATTCCACTTTCATTTAGCTGTATCCAGAGAGCCAATATATAGAAAGCAAACATGAAAATAGTACAAAAAGAAATCAATATACCAACAAATTTGACCACCGTTTGATACACCTTGATCAGGAGGTTAAGGACCCTGGAGTGGTTCAGAAGATTTTGGAAAACCAGAACCATCTTACTGTTGTGATACCGTAAATGTCCTCGTTGCAGGGCAAATAAAGGAATTCTGATTCTGTACAGTACAAGTACAATTACAGTATTAACACCTGTGCAGCATAAAGATTAAAATCATATTCTCTTCTTCCAGGCTTATTACATCCTCCTGAGTCGAGCCTCCTATGAGTTACGAGGCAGTACAAAGAAGTTTGGCATCACCAAACTGCTGGACAGTGGAGTGTACAAAGCCGCCTATCCCCTCCATGATGTAAGTCACATGTTACACACACACACACACACACACACACACACACACACACACACACACACACACACACACACACACACACACACACACACACACACACACACACACACACACACACACACACACACACACACACACGTACACACACACGTACACACACACGTACACACAATCGTTGCTGTGATGAGGTTGACGGCTACTTTGCAAAGTAAAGTGATATGGTTCTATGACTGTAAAAACACTTTTATTTATACATTTTTTCCAGAAATGTTTAGATATTTTCTCGTCGATTTGTGACTGTAATCTTAAAAAATACATAATCTTATATCTAAGAATATTAAACAGGTTTTTCTTGGTGATTTTTTTGGGTTCTCCTAAATCTAATTAATCTCATTTGAGAACAAAAAATTAAGATTTACAAATATATCATTTCGTTTTCTCATTGATGAACCATTTTAATCTTTGAAAATATCCAATTCAATCTACATCTTTTGAATATGACCCCCTCCCCAGGCACAACAAACATTTTTTTTTTTTTAACCTAAAACGTGCCTAATACGCCGTCATGTGTGTGTCATTGTTTTATGCTTTTTAAAAAAAAATCTATTTGTGGTATTATTTCCCTGTTTTGTTTTTCAGTCCAGGTTCAATGTGAAGTCCGAAGAGGAGGGCAGCACCAGCGAGAGATATCTGCTCTATAGAGAATGGGCTCATCCCAAGAGCTTCTACAAGATGCAACCACTGAACCTCATCAGGTGAACCGTCATGTCCTCATCAACAATGAACTTAAAGTCCTTTCATAATTCAATGCACCAGGAAAATGAAATGCCGCGTTGACTCTCAACAGAAGGCCCGCAGTTCTCCTCCCTTTGTGGAACAAACAAGACGTGTTATGTCTTTGTCCTTGCACTTTTTTTTCCCTGAGTGAGTAATAGAGCCACAGGAGATCAAACCATTGTTTGTTTTCACAGGAAGTATTACGGGGAGAAGATCGGCATTTACTTTGCCTGGTTGGGTTTCTACACAATAATGCTGGCTCTGGCTGCTGTTGTGGGTCTGGGATGTTTCATTTATGGATACAAGACTCAAGATACCAGCACCTGGAGGTACATTTCCTAGGAGATATTCAATTATGTGCTATATTTTGGAGATTTCCCTGTGTAATAATGTCTGTCCTGACTGCAGCAAAGAGGTGTGTGACCCTGCCATTGGAGGACAGATAGTGATGTGTCCACAGTGTGACAAAGAGTGCGTATACTGGAGGTTAAACAGCACCTGTGAAGCTTCAAAAGTGAGTTTTTTTTTATTTCAACACTAAAATAATCTGTTTTATTAACCCTTAAATGGTTTCTGTTTCGCCTGGGTATACAGTCATTAGACAGGCTGTATCAATATGTAGCATGGGTGTAATATAACTGTGATAATGGTGCAATCTATAAATGTATACCGGTGACTGTGGTTGCGTATGTAAAGCACTTAAAGGTAGTAAAGACAGGATAAAGCGCTTTATAAGTACAGTCCACTTGCCATACCCTTAATGGGCAATGTATAACAGGAGATACAGAGTGTATTTTTGAAGAAATATCTTGACATTTCTAGGCCATTTTTAGCCTAAATACATTAGAAAATAGCCATTAAGGATGGATGTTGTGTTAGAGGAAGTGTTTTCACAGTTGCAGACTTTGCATAAGTAATTGTTTGGGCTTTTATTACACCCAGGACAGTTGGCAGTTTTTGCATGTAAGCAGGATCGACACACTGATGCCCTTGTTTCTCTTTTTCCCCGTTGTCTTCTAGAAACTCTGCATATTTGATAACTTTGGGACCTTGGTGTTTGCAGTTTTCATGTCAATCTGGGGTAAGTTGTATACAATTTCAAAAACATGACAACTGCCCGCTTGTTTCCAATCAAGCTAATATCACATACACAAGGCCGTAACAAAACGATAGAAACGGACCCCACAAACGATAACGGGTCCCAAGGTGGATAGATTTGCAAACGAAACACTCTGTGGGGTCAAACGGCTCTGTGTAATCGCCTCTATACGATCATTTCCTGAAAAAATAACAATAGCCCCGCCTCTCCCCACCTCTCCTGCTCACCCCCGCGTCATTGCTGATGCGTTTCGCCAACAACAACAACAATGGCGGATCACAGGGTAGCTGCTGTGCTCCAGACGCTACTGACCATGATACAGATGTTAGTGCTACATCTACGGTGCTTCTACGAAAACCACAAGCAACAAGTGGACATGAACTACATGTTGCTAAATCCACCGCGCGAATATCAGCCATCTTCTACCTTGTTTGTTTGTTTTGTTTGTGCCTCACACATCCGGGGGGGATCTTATACTCGCTGCTTTTGGTGTATTTTGTGGCGGAAGTTACAGCGCCAGTTACAGGCCCGGCATATGTACTACAGCGTGTCCAGCGCTTTCGAGCGGTCTCGTGTGGAAGTACAGCGCCACTTACAGTCCCGGCATATGTACTACAGCGTTTCCAGCGGTCTCGTGTGAACAGACATGTTAAATGAAACGAATGCGTGTGAACGGAAGACTTTTTTGAAAACGCATACTGTGCATAAACGCAAACGTTCCCGTGTAAAGGCAGCCTTGGAGAGAAGCTGTTTTCATGGCCATTTTAAAAGGTTTATTTTGGGCGCAATTAAATGCAAAGCAGACACAGGAAGACACAGACAATGCTTTGTGGACGTAGTTATTTCCTTCTTTCTCTTAATTGCCCTGTGTGTATTATTTCCTGTTCATTTCCTCTCTGCAGTAACGCTGTTCATGGAGTTATGGAAGCGCTACCAGGCGGAGCTGGAGTACAGGTGGGACACGGTGGAGTTTCTGGAGCAGGACGAGCTGCCTCGGCCAGAATATGAAGCCAAGTGTATTCATGAGAGGAAAAACCCCGTCACAGGGGTAAATCACACACTCTTTTTAAGCAGCGAAGAAGAAAACAATGATAAGAATTTGAGTTTGAAGTCATTGTGTGTGTGTGTGTGTGTGTGTGTGTGTGTGTGTGTGTGTGTGTGTGTGTGTGTGTGTGTGTGTGTGTGTGTGTGTGTGTGTGTGTGTGTGTGTGTGTGTGTGGTGTGTGTGTGTGTGTGTGTGTGTGTGTGTGTGTGTGTGTGTGTGTGTGTGTGTGTGTGTGTGTGTGTGTGTGTGTGTGTGTGTGTGTGTGTGTGTGTGTGTGTGTGTGTGTGTGTGTGTGTGTGTGTGTGTGTGTGTGTGTGTGTGTGTGTGTGTGTGTGTGTTTTAGGAAGACGAAAAAGTGCCCTATACAGCCTGTGGACGATGTGTTCGGGTGTCAATAGGAATTGGGACCGTCTTCTTCTGGGTAATGTACATTAAAGTCATTTGTATTTTAACTATACATGAAATCATTGCTGAAACTGTCTGTAATCTCTACTTCACTTAGAATGATGCCAAATTCATAGTTCTTTCCACAAATCTACTTTGAAATAGGAATGACACAACTCAGAAATTACACACCAGCAATACAAAGCATTACCTATGTTTTTTCAATTTTAGATGTGAATATTCATGATTTTTTTCTTGTATTTTATCCTTTAGATTCTGTTGATCCTGGCGTCCATCGTGGCCATCATCGTGTACCGCCTGGCTGCATTCTTCGCCTTCTCCACCAAACTGCGAGCTCAGGACCTGAAGGAGCTGGAGCCCCTGAAGGAGTACGTGACGCCTCAGATGGCCACCGCCGTCACCGCCTCGCTCATCAGCTTCGTTGTTATCATGATCCTCAACATCCTGTATGAGCGCGTCGCAATCTGGATCACTGACTTTGGTGATTGATTTTATTTTATTGACATTTTATTTTTAATATTTATTTTTGATTTTATGTGGATTTTATTTTTTTAATATATTTTTATTTATTTTTTATTTTTGTAGTATTATTGTTTTTTATATTTTAATATAATTTAAAGGGCCCATGTCATGCTTTTCCGGTTATTACCCGTCCCCTTGTGTGTTATGAAGGTTTTTATGCATGTAAACGGTGTGCAGAGTCACAAACCCTCAAAGTACACCCTGTAGCGAGTAAAACTCTAACACAGAAAATACCTCCCCAAAACGCCTCGTTGGAGATACGTCATTGTCCATTTGATTCTTCCATTTCGTTCCGGGTACGGCATGATGTCAAGCCGTACCCGGAACGAAATGGACCAATCCGTGAAGCCGTTACGTTACGTCCGCGGAGCCGTTACGTTAAGCCCCCGCTGATTGGTCCAAATTGACCAATCCACGGACTTCCTCACACACACATCTGTGTGCAGGGAGCAGGCAGCTCAGCTGATTCTCCTCCCTGGCTGCAGGCTGATAACAGACAGTTGGGATCGCGGCGAAATTCTCTCTGCAGACCCATTCTCACAGCGTTTATCAACCTTTTTCTTACTCAATATCAAGCCACACTTATTGTTTTTACTTCGGATGTGAGTTTGTGTGTGCTCAGGATGAGTTTGGCTGTGTTTGGCTGTGTATCGCTAACAAGGAAACCACACCTCCACGGAGCTCAGCGCGATTCACAATGTCCCGACCAATCAGAGCACACTGTGCTCACAGGGAGGGTGGGGGCTGGAGCTATTGGAGCTACAACGAGCCGTTAAAGGCAGAGAGTGAAATTCAGTGAATACACGTAGTTTACAGAGATGCTGGATGAGAAACCAATGTGAGTTTGGAAAATTGCACAATATAAATCTATTCTAGTAGACCTCAACAATGGAATTATGATCAGTGGAAATGGCCATGACTTTAATTTTTTAATTTTTTTTTTGTATTTATTTTCTCCACTTGCTTGAAAAGCGTCTTTGAGCACCAGCAAAAGGGCTATATAAATACCATGTAATATTACTATTATAATAATAATCCTTTTTTTTCTACCCTACACAAAAACAGAGCTTCCTCGCACCAAGACGGACTACGAGAACAGCCTGACTCTGAAGATGTTCCTCTTCCAGTTCGTCAACTATTACTCGTCCTGCTTCTACATCGCCTTCGCTAAAGGGAAAGCGGTCGGCTTTCCTGGAGATCCCGTTTATCTTTTGGGAAAATATCGAAACGAGGAGGTACAGTTTGTCCATCGAGCTATACCACGTCTTACTTACTCACTTGTTATTCCTGACTCCTGCTCTTCGTCCCTCAGTGTGATCCAGGCGGTTGTCTGATTGAATTGACGACTCAGCTCTCTATCATCATGGGTGGAAAAGCCATCTGGAACAACATCCAAGAGGTCTTGCTACCGTAAGAAGTCAGAATCTAACACCACTTTTAAAATCAAAAGAAAAACTATTTTATTTATGTTTAAGAAAATGTATTGAAGGTCCCATGACATGCTTTTCCGGTTATCACCCGTCCCCTTGTGTGTTATGAAGGTTTTTCTGCATGTAAACGTTCTGCAAAGTCACAACCCCTCAAAGTACACCCTGTAGCGAGTAAAACTCTAACACAGAAAAGACCTGTCTATGCTGCCCCAGAACGCCTCGTTGGGGATTTTTATTTTTCCATTTTTTTCTTCCTGGTCACTGTGACGTAACGACGACCCAAACGGACCCATTGGTCCAAATGGACCAATCCGCGGAGCCGTTACGTTAAGTCCGCGGATTGGTCCAAATGGACCAATCCACGGACTTCCTCACACACACACACTCAACCTTTTCTCAGCTGCAGCTCCGCGGATTTCTCAGCCTGAGACGGCGGTACGCGGCGAGGCTGTGGGTGTGTGTGTGTGCTCGGGCTGGTTTCGGGCTGGGTTTCGCTGTGTCTCGCTGTCTCGCCGACCCCATGCAGCAACTAGGAAACCACACCAGTTAGCCAGCTCACACTGTCCTCTCCTCGAGCCTCAAAGGGCGGAGCAGCGAGCCTCGCAACGTCCCGCCAACACGGCACCCAGACCCCACGCAGCATTCTCATCTGTTTGTCATTACTGGTGTCATTTTCTGGTTGCTAACAAACGCCATTGTAACACATAATCACTGATGTTCCGCTGTAACAGTGGTGGACTCATCAGAACAGAGTGGGCTCACAGGGAGGGGCAGGAGCTCCAACAAGCCGTTTAGGACAGAGTGAATACACATACTATACAGAGATGCTGTATGAGAAACCAATGTGAGTTTGGAAAATTGCACAATATAAATCTATTCTAGTAGACCTCAACAATGGAATTATGATCAGTAGAAATGGCCATGACATGGGACCTATAAAATAGCATATTTAGACAGTATGAAGTTGACTTTTGATTGTGTTCTGGTTTTATGTTTCAGTATTCGTAATCAACTGTGACTGAAAGAATATTGCTTTTATTTTACTGGTTATTTCATTTTTATTTATTTTTTTATTGTTTTTTAAGAAGGGGCAGGTAAAATAAGATGTTCTTCTCCCTGCTCCTTTCCACCATGCACTATAAAAAAAAAAAACAGTATAAGTGTACATGTTTTGTAAAGTGTACATGTTTTGTTTTTAAATAACCGCCATGTGTGGAATAAACAAATAAATAAAAAATGGTTGTGATAAAGCCATTGGGCTCAAATCTAATAAAACACTACCTTTCCCTGTCTGAACCGAACCACTGTAAATACATCTGATCTCCTCCACCCCTCCACAGGTGGGTTAAAAACCTTATTTTCCGCTACTGCACTCGTGTCGCCCCGGAGAAAGTGATTCCTTGCTGGGAGCAGGACTACCGGCTGCAGCCATTTTCAAAGCATGGACTTTTCTATGAATATCTGGAGATGGGTAAGTCTTACACATTTACAGCAGCATACAAGGAAGTTCCAACATAGCCTCATTTAAATGCAAGGGTTAAAGGTGGGGTAGGTAATTCACTTCAGAAACACTTGTTGTTATATTCCATGGAATGCTCTTAAAGGTGGGGTAGGTAAGTTTGAGAAACCGGCTCGAGATACACTTTTTGTTATATTCCATGGAATGCTCTTAACATCCCGATAGCAATGAATATCTTAAGTGCTTTGACAAAAAATCCATAAAAAAATGTCATCTGTGGAAGCCGTAGTACTGTGAAAAGCACGACCAATCATTTTAGCAGGCCCGGCTAAAATAACTGGATGGCCTACCTGCCTGTCAGCCTTCCATCTGTGCACAAACTTATCATCCGCCCTCATTGGTCATGTGCGCGTTCGTGTGTGTTGGAGGAGGGGCTCTGTAAGGAAGTGGCAGATTTTCTCCGGTTGTGTATTTTCAAATTCTAGCGCACTCGAGCTGGTTTCTCAAACTTACCTACCCCACCTTTAACATCCCGATAGCAATGAATACATGAAATGCTTTGACAATAAATATATACAAATATTTCATCTGTGGAAGCCGTGGCGTTGTAAAAAGCACGACCAATCATGTGAGCCGGCCCGGCTAAAATAACTTGTTTGTTTGTAGCCTTTATTTATCCAGGTTAAAAAATCCCATTGAGATCAACGATCTCTTTTACAAGGGAGACCTGCGGCACATTTAGTTACACATATAAAAACAAACAGAAAACAAACACAACATAATTACAGGGGTATACATTAGCAACCTATTTACATTTACAGGTATCCAATAATATTTCATCCAGCCGTGCTTTAAAACGATGCAAGGGAATCAAAATGCTCAGTTTCAATATTTTTTGCATGGTGTTCCAAGCCAGAGGAGCAGCGCACATAAAAGCTTTAGCACCTAAAACAGTCCTAGCACTTGGCACATGTAATAAAAACACATCCTGTGATCTCAGGCAATAGCTACTTGCCACTGTCCGTGAGATCAAAGAGCAGATATAAGAAGGTAGTTTACCCAGCATGGCTTTGTAGATGAACATGTACCAATGACTGAGCCTCCGACCAGTAAGTGAAGGCAGACCTGCCTTGGCATACAGGGTACAGTGATGAGTAAGTACTTTACAGTTAGTAACAAATCTCAGAGCACTGTGATAGGCGGCATCTAACCTTTCCAGGCAATGGGCAGGTGCATTCATATAGATCAAATCACCATAGTCTAGCACAGGTAAAAAGGTCACAGAGACTAGCCTTTTCCTGGCTTCAAAAGAAAAACAGGACTTGTTTCTGAAAAAGAAACCTAATCTAACCCTCAGCTTTTTAAGCAGATTAGTGACCTGAAGTTTAAAAGTAAGACAATCATCAAGCCAGATACCAAGGTATTTATAATAGCTAACCACTTGGAGTACTTGTCCTTGCATAGTCACAATATCCAAAGCAGTCTCTGGAGTCTTTTTAGCTTTAGAAAAGAGCATTACTTTGGTTTTCTCAACATTTAAAAGAAGCTTTAGTTCAGAGAGCTGAGTCTGAATAATGTTAAAAACAGCCTGTAATTTAACAACAGCGTCCTTAATGGAGGGACCTGCACAATACATCACGGTGTCATCCGCATAAAAATGCAAAGTAGCTTCATCCACATTTTCACCTAAACTATTGATGTAGATGGAGAATAAAAGTGGACCTAAAACAGAACCTGGATGGCCTACCTGCCTGTCAGCCTTCCATCTCGTGCACAAACTTATCTCGTGCCCTCATTGGTCATGTGTGCGTTCGTGTGTGTTGGAGGAGGGGCTCTGTAAGGAAGTCTGAAGGAAGGGGCAGATTTTTTCCGGTTGTGTACTTTCAAATTCTCGCGCACTCGAGCTGGTTTCTCCATTCTTACCTACCCTACCTTTAACTACACGGAGACTTGTGTATCTCTAAATCACAAAACAGGTTGCACTACACAAACTAGTTCTCACATACCAGAGTGGTTATCTATTTATAAATGTGTTGCGAGCTATACTACAAAAAACACGTTTGCTGAGTTCATATCTTTGATGAAAGATGGAAAAAAATTGACAATTAGGGAACATTTATAACGACCAAGGTGGTAAGATCTAAATATGCATGTAATTAGGTTTGTATCTAGCTGGTAAGACATTTTAGATAGATAGATAGATAGATAGATATTTTTTATAACTTTATTGATCCCAATTTGGGAAATGTTTGTTGCAGCAGCATAAAAAACAAGGCAATGTACGAAAAATAAGAGAAAATAGGGATTTCCCAAACAATAAGTAGTACTGGTGCATCTGAATCCTGGGTAATATTCATTCATACTTACCTGTCTCTTGTCCCTGTCAGTGATCCAGTTCGGCTTTGTGACTCTGTTTGTGGCCTCCTTCCCTCTGGCTCCCGTCCTGGCTCTGGTCAACAACCTGTTTGAGATCCGGGTCGATGCCTGGAAGATCACCACTCAGTTTCGACGCATCGTTCCAGAAAAAGCTCAGGACATCGGCGCCTGGCAGCCCATTCTCCAGGGCGTCGCCATATTGGCTGTCGCAACAAATGTGAGAAACTGTTGAGTTATTGGTTAATCTGGTGCATTGCAAAACACACTTTCATAAACAAAACAAACCAGTAAAGGTACAAACATTGGCCCAACTGTGTGTGCAGTCATTTTGTTAAAATAATTGTGTTCTTTGAATTTTGGCTATAGCGGACTTTTCTACACAGAACATTTATCTTTTGAGAGGTCATATTCAAGGGACGAAATACTTCCTAGATAAACTGTACACATAATTAACTGGAAAAAACACATAGCCAATTATCCAGTTTCCACAATTTGTCTCCGAAATGTATTTGTGTAAATTGCAAAATAATCTAGGAAATGAAGAAAAAAGACTCTTGAAAAAAATACAGCAAGTTGAATACATGACTCAGACTCAATACAGCCATGTTTGATTTTGAATCCAATGTTATTATACCGTAGAAATCCTTAATGTTTCATCCTCACCTGGAAACATTTATAAAGTCTTTGGCGTTTTTCTGTCCGAAAATAAAAAGAGTCTTGCTTTAAAAGAAACATTCAAACGACAGCCCATTCTCCAGGGCGTTGCCAGATTGGCTGTCGCAACAAATTGTGAGGAACTGTTGAGTTATCAATCTGGTGCATTGACCACAATTCCAACAATAGCAATTGATTAATTTGGGTTGCAGATTAGAATTTTCCAAAGGGGGGTTCGTTTAGCGTGAGACACTTGAAATAACTAAAGGATAAGTTAAAAAAGAAAGTAGAAAGAAAGTGAGCGATGATTGAGAGTCAGAGCTAAACATTTCAGATGTGTGCATCTCACACTGCACTGTGACTTTAATTCATGTACCTTTTGTTATTCATGCTTTATTATCATATGTTTAATGTCCGATATTTTTGTAATGCACTTTGAATTGCCTTGTGTTGAAAGGTGCTATATAAATACACTTGCCTTGCCTTGATGCTCATGACATTTACCCGGTGTCCTGGTGTCTCAACAGGCCATGATCATTGCTTTTACCTCGGACATGATTCCCCGGCTGGTCTACTACTGGTCCTTCTCTGTGTATCCCTATGGAGATCACTCCAATCACACCATGCAGGGCTACATCGAAAGCTCGCTGTCTATATTCAACATCAGCGACTTCTCTATAAGCAGCTTGCCCATGAAGACACCTTCCAACATCACCACCTGCAGGTACACATGTTTGTTTTAAATATTTGTATCGAAGACACATTGCACATAGACAAGACATTTTGGACATCAATGGGAACAACAGATACAGAATAAAAACAACCACTGATCGTCTTTGTCTTAGAGCCATACTTTTGCTTTTACATTTTTTCCCTGTTGGTTCTTCTCTTGAAAAACACATTCATAAACAAACCAGCAAA